GATAATCAGTTTCGTCCAAGAGAGCTTGGAGTTGTCCCGCCACCACCTGCTCTAGCACCTTGCCCAGAAACGGGATGTTGGCCACCGGTCTATAATTGGCGGCCACCTCTGGATCCAGGGATGCCTTCTTTAGGACTGGCCGGACTACCGCCTCCTTTAAAGGGGCAGGTACCCAGCCGTCTCTTAAAGAGGCATTGACCACCTCCAGGATCCAGGTCCCAATCCCGTCCTTGGCTTTCTTCAGTAGCCAAGATGGGCATGGGTCTAGTAAGCAAGTGGTAGGACGTACTTGTCCAAGCACCTTGTCCACATCATCAGGCCGCAACAACTGAAATTTATCCATTAATTGTGGACTCGATGGCGTTGATGGCGTCTCCCCAGTAGAATCTGATTCAATAGCAGAATCAAGCTCGTGGCGAATCTGAGCGATTTTCTCCCTAAAATGCTCGGCAAAGTCATCACAGCGGGCCTTCGAGGGTGGCACAAGTTCTTTCTTCAGGCCCGGATGTATCAGCCCCTGCACCACCCGAAAAAGCTCCGCCGACGGCATTGTGAGGAGGCAATGGAAACGGAGAAGAATTTCTTCGCCGTCCTCACCGCCACAGCATAGGCCCGATAATGGGCTCTCAAGTGTGTTCGGTCAGAATCACCCCGTGATCTCCTCCACCTACGCTCTAGACATCTCCCCACCTGCTTCATTGCCCGTTAATTAAGGTTCATGCCCATGTAGGAAATGGAACTCTGATTTCCCAAGTCCCAGTCTAGCTCTCCAACCACTATACATCACTGCTTCTCCAGGCCTCCAGTTTGGCCCTAGAAATGTCAGGGCTTGTGCCTCTCCGGGATTTGAATCCAGATTCCTGTGTCCAGCCTCGTGACTCTCTCTGGCTGCCCATGGCTAAAACCCTGTCCCCATCTCTTACATAGGTATGTGGAACTGGTCAATGCCGACAGCATCTTTGAGCACAACGAAAACTTCTTCACCTTGTTCTCTGATCCTCGGAGCACCCGACTGGCCAGGATCCATTTGAGGGAAGACATTGTCCAGGATCAGGACCTAGAAGCGATCCGAAAACAGGTACTCTGGTGATGATTTGCCCTGTCTTTGCTGTCAGCAGCACCTGGAAGCTGGCCCCTGAATGCCAGCTGTCGAGCACAGGGGCAGATTTCAGTCCCAGGTGCCCAGTGCAGCCCACCTGGGTTTCTCCAGGTGCCAGGCTCCCCTTGCCCGCCCCCACCAGGCCCTGCTTTCCTCCTGCTCTGCCTCTCGCTCAGGGGTTTCCAGGTCTAGCTGGGTTTCCCCTGGCCGCACCCGTTGAAAACCAGATCTGGCATTTTCCATCTTTACATGGTGAGACTCCTGGCAATCGAATGGATCTAATGGCCCCGTCCAGACTGAGGCTCCGCATAATGCTTTGCACTAGGGCAGGGAGCTGTGCCTTGTTCCGGGGCGGGGAACCCTTTTCCTGCTTCCCTCTGCCAAGCGACTGTGAAGGTGGCCATCCAGCTTAGAGGGAACGGGGAAGGCTGTGGGAGTGGGGCAAGGGCCTGGGACCTTGGCTCCGTGCGCCCCAGCCCCACGCCACGCTGGCCCTTTATCGTGTGCGAGCCCTCGCAGCTCATGCCCCCCACCCCCGGTCCATCTCCCGTAGGACCTCATCGAGCTCTTCCTGACGAATTGCGAGAAGCTAACCGCCAAGACCCTCCAGACCCTGGGCAGCTTCAGCTCCACCCTCGTCTCCCTCAGCCTTTTCGGCTGCACCAACATTTTTTACGAGGAGGAGAACCCCAGTGGCTGCGAGGATGATTTGAACCCCACCCGCCAGGTGCTGGTCAAAGACTTCACCTTCGAAGGCTTCCGCCGCCTGCGCATCCTCAACTTGGGCCGGATGACCGAGGGGGTGAATGTGGAGGGCCTGCTCAGGCCACTGGCCTCCCTCACGGCGCTGGACCTCTCCGCCATCCAGCTCAACGACATCCTCTTCCTGACCCAGTGGAAAGACAGCCTGGCGTCGCTGGTGCTTTACAACATGGACCTGTGTGAGGAGCACATCCAGGCCATCGCGCAGCTGCGCAAGCTCAGGTCAGCGAGCAGTGCCTGCCCCCTTGTCCTCACTCCCCTTGGGCCATTTTGGACCTCTCCCTGCCCACCTTATGGTCCGCATTCTGCGTGGCAGTGGCAATGCCTTGTGGGGAAAAGTAGGGAGGATCCGCCCACAGCAGCGGGGGTGTTGAACCTTTCGGCCGCCGGCTGAGACCACGCTGCAGAAGGCCTCGGGGGCCGCCCCCAAGGGTGGGCAGAGCTGAGGCAAAAGAGGCAAGGCCAAGAGTGCCAGCCTGTCCAGCGCAGGCACAAGCCTTGCTGCAGGGGAGGGAACGCTCAGGAGCAGGGGACCAGCTCCTAGAGGGTCAGGCCCCTTCCCTGTTCCCCATCCTTTCTCCTCAGCACTGATTTGCTGGTGTTTTCCTGGCTATCATGCAGTTTCCCCCCAATTCTGAATAGCTGGAGTGCCTCCCCTCACATTTGGATGCTGGCAGCACGAACTTCAAAGGACTGGGCCTGTCTGTCTTTTTGGCGAACTGTGGCTTGGCCGGGTTTGGTCCCAGACCTGAGGCCTAGTAACTTGTTTTAGAACAAAAGCTGATGTGCTCACAGAGCCACCTTCTGCCCCAAGCTTTCTGCACCCTTTGCACAGCTGCGGTGGCATTGCGACTCGCCCCAAGCCGTGCTTGTCTCCCACCGTGTGTGACGAGAGCTTGTGGTGCGTGAGGCGTTCTTCCGGCTCACCTGCCGCATGTGATCTGGGTCCGCAGCTGGTGATGTGCTCTTCCCTCCTCGGTTGTTGCAGGCACCTGGACATTTCCCGGGACCGCCTGTCTAGTTATTATAAATTCAAGCTGACGCGCAGGGTTCTGAACCTCTTTGTGGAGAACCTGGGAAGCCTCACGTCCCTGGACATCTCAGGCCACACCATGCTGGAGAACTGCACTTCCCCATGCCTGGATGAGAGAGTGGGCCAGACCAGGTGAGGCGGGCAGGGCCCGCAGGGTGAGGGCTGTGAATCTGACCGTGGCTGGATCTCCACGGCGCGACAGCCCACAGTGCTTGCTCTGGCTTGTCCCAGAAGTGGCAGGTAGGACCCTTTTGCTGCACAAAAGGCCTTCTCATGGAGAGGAAAACCGCTGGGACAGGTGGGTGTGTTGGCACTGATCCGCCCCACAGGCTGCATTGCTGTGAAGCGAGGAGTGGCCTGGTGCCTTGCAGCCCAGGCCCCACCTCTGCCTCGGGCTTCGGGTCCTGGCCGAGCATCCCTCCCCGTCCTGTTGCCTTGCCTGCTGGAAAATGCGTGTGCTGTGGCTGGCGTGCTCGCTTGGCCTGCCCGGTGAGGGTGGGCAGCCCCACCCCGATGGCAGCCTTTTCGTGAGAGCACTCATGGTGTCCAAGTGCTCCCACCAGCCCAGAAAGTTGGGAGGATGGGAATGGGGTGTAGCTGCAGGCTGGAACTCATGCTCTGCACGCAGAAGTCCTCAATTTCCCTCTCCTGGTGGGGGGTTCCTAGTGAACGGTGTCTTGGGTTCCCAGAACTGAGACCTCGGAAACCATGTTGTTTCCAACGTGGGCATTGTTGGGCCGGATTGACCTGTGGTCTGCCCTGTTCTTTTGTGTATTCCTCCAGCACCAACCCAGAAATCAGCAGCATCACCCCCTTCCGGAGCCTGAAGCGACCACTCCAGTTCCTGGGCCTCTTCGAGACCTCTCTTTGCCGTCTTTCACATATTCCAGCTTACAAGGTAAAGCCAGAACTAGAAGACGTAGTATAGATCTCCATCCACCAGAATAACGTGAGACGCCGGGAGCTGCCTGAAAAATTGTCCATGTTAAATCATGCAGCAGTGGCAGCCGACTCAGGGCAGGGCGGGGAGGCGTTTGGGACTTCAGCTCTCAGCCACCTTGGCTATTGGCAGGGAGGCAGCGGCTTCTTGGTGCTGAAATCAGAAACATCTGGAGATCTGCCGTCTGCCCAGTTTACCCAAAAGTGCTCAAGAGCAGAGCTGGAGGGGGCCGTGGAGGCCATCAGGTCCACCCCCTGCTGTTGCAGGACACCAGTTCACACCATCCCTCTTGGAGGGCTGTCCAGGGTCTGTTTGAATGTCTCTAGGGTGGGAGAGCCCACCACCTCTCCAGGCATCTTGTTGTAATTCTCACAACACCCCTGCTAGGTAGGTCACTATCCCCATGCCGCGAGTAAGGACGCAGGCGTTCATGTGTAGCTGAGGTGAACCTTAAGCGTATTTTTCATGAGCCGTAATGAAGTTTGTCCTCTGAGTGGGCGCCGTTGCGCCGTGTCCCCGGGCACCCAGAAATCGGGCCCGCTCTGCTCCGCCCGGCTCCTCCCTCACAAGCATCCCTGGGCTAGGTGAGGCAACTTCCAGGGGAGCGCAGGGAGGGCCTGCTGTGCCCTCAGAGCCCTTCTGGAGCTTCCGCTCCCCAAAATCGCTGCTCAGGGTGTGGCCGCCTCCACCACGTCAGCGGCCCAGACCGCAATTTTGTGCGGCTGCCCCGAGGCATTGCAGCCTGAGGGAGCGCCCGTTTCAGCGTGGCTGCATTTGGCCAGTTCCCGCTTGGCCAGTTCATTTCTGGGCATTCTCGTTCTTGGTGCCAGGTGACTGGGGATAAGAACGAAGAGCAGGTGCTCAACGCCATCGAAGCTTACACCGAACACCGCCCCGAAATCACCTCCCGAGCCATCAACCTCCTCTTCGACATCGCCCGCATCGAGCGCTGCAACCAGCTCCTGCGAGCCCTCAAGGTGTGGCCAGGCTCCCTGGGGGTGCGTTGGCTTTGCTGCAGGGACCGGTGACGCTTTGGCTCAGCGGCACGCCTGCGGTTTGGAGAGGGTGCCCAGGCTGTCCGGGGGTGGGGCATGGGAAGCTCCGTCCGATCACGAAGCGGGCATCTCCCAGGAGGCAAAATCAGCTGCTTATGTATTTCAGTCTCGGATCAGGACAATGTAAAATATAAGGATGAAATATCCAAGGCTATATTTCGTGTGACTATAAAGCAGAAAGTGAGATTATAAATGTACATTACAATTTTAGAATAGCATTCTGTCAGGATAAGCAGGAGCAGCTGCCGCTCTCGCTGTACCTCAGCCGGAGGGACTGTTCTGAGCCAGTAAAAGTAAGGTGAAACAGACGCTTCCTGTAAAAGTAGAGCAATTAAGGTGAATTGAGGATCATAATGAAAGGAGCAGCTCATTGCTCATAGATCAGCCTCCTTGTTACTTTTTCAGTTGCAGATTATATTTAGAATGGAATACAATTCGGCGGGGGGACTAGGCATCCAGTGTGGTGTAGTGGTTAAGAGCATGGGACTGGGACTCAGACGATCTGGGTTCGAGTCCCCGCTCGGCCATGGAGCCAGCTGGGTGACTTTGGGCCAGTCACAGACTCTCAGCCCAACCTACCTCACAGGGTTGTTGTTGTGAGGATAAGATGGAGGAGGAGAATGATGTAAGCTGCCTTGAGCCCTTTGTAGGAAAAAGGCAGGATATAAACAGAAAATAAATAAATCTCTGGGAAGACCACAAGTGGCCATAAATGTCACTGCCCACCCCCTCTGCTTCTTCCCCACTCTGGGAACCAAAAGGTGTGCCCGTTCTGCAACACGGCGCTCTGGGGCGCTGGATGCGTGCACAGACAGACCAGGCCCTCACAGGGGCTTGTGGCCTCTCTGCATAACCAGAGGAGGCAGGAAGGAAAACCGCGTGTCATAACGGCAGGTTTTGCGGCCTGTTTCTGCAGCTCGTCATCACCGCACTCAAGTGTCACAAGTACGACAAGAACATCCAGGTGACAGGCAGCGCCGCCCTCTTCTACCTCACCAACTCAGAGTACCGCATGGAGCAGAGCGTCCAGCTGCGGCGGCAGGTGATCCAGGTGGTGCTGAACGGCATGGAGTCCTACCAGGAAGTGACCGTAAGCACCTGCTCCATCGGCTCGACATGGCAGCTGGGCCGTCTTCGCAGAGGGCACCCCCTGCCCCAAGGCCTCCCCGAGCGGGTGCAGCAGCAGGCTGCAGCCCATGCCTCATAGAAGCCCCTTGCGGTGCCCCGATGCGGCAGGGCCCCGACTCCCCCTTGGTCGCTTCCACAGGCAGCCCCTCCTGCCAGTCCCGCCACACATGGAGGGACACGCCACCCGCACAGCAGAGGTTTGGTGCTTCCAGAAACGAGGGGAAACCTCGCATTGGCCGGTCCTGTGGGAAGGAGGGGGTCATGTAGGGGAAGCGCCCCGTTGTCTTGGAGCAGAGAGGATGGCAAGGAGTCCTTCGGGGGATTGGGGTTTTGAGGCCAGGAGTCTCCCCAGGAGGAAAGGAGAGACGGCTCCCGCCCGTAGAGGGGACCCTGCGGCCTGGGCTGGAGAACCGGAGAGTCTGTGTGGGGCTGCAGTCCCCTGGCTCTGTGCCCTGGCAGAGCACTGTTCTCCGTCGGACGCCCAGGGCCTGTAGCTGGAGCTAAAATAGGTTTGGGGCCTGTTAAGCCAGCAAAGGTGTGAGGTGGATGGGGCCAGAAGAGCCGGCTGTCCCTGGCTCGCCACTGCAGCTGGCGCTACCTCCCCGTGACCCCAGTGGCTCTTCCTTCTCCCGCGTGGAGCCTTCCGTGCGAGTTCGCCCTGCCCCAAAGGCTCCCCTGCGATGGAGCTCTTCCCCCACCCCTGCGCTGCCGCCAGCAGTGCTTTGCGAAACCAGGGACGGAGAGAGGAATGCTGGAGCCCTGAGGGGGCCTGGGAGGATGCTAAGGGGGTCCTTGTGGCTTGGGCCCCCACGTTCCGGGGCTCTGCTGTCCCAGGGCAGACTCCCAACTGTGCCCCAGTTGAGGGATTCCCGGAGCAAGGCAAGCCGGCTCTGAGCCAGCGTGGGAGCCCGGGCAGGCACCCCGGGCCCACAGCTGCTTCTGGTCGGCAGCCGCTCCTGCCTTCCTCTTCAGGTGCAGCGGAACTGCTGCCTGACCCTGTGCAACTTCAGCATCCCGGAGGAGCTGGAGTTTCAGTATCGCCGGGTCAACGAGCTGCTCCTGAATATCCTCAACCCGACGCGGCAGGACGAGTCCATCCAGCGCATCGCCGTACACCTCTGCAACGCCCTGGTGTGCCAGGTGGACAACGACCACAAGGAGGCCGTGGGCAAGATGGGATTTGTCATGGTTGGTATGGCCCTCCAGACGGCCCCGAGCAGCTCCCCGTGGCCCTGGCGTGCCCCTCCTCTCCTCTCCTCTCCTCTCCTCTCCTCTCCTCTCCTCTCCTCTCCTCTCCTCACGATGCATTCATTCCAGCTGGGCTGCCGGGCTTCTTTCACCCCAAGGGCCACATCCAGTTTCAGGGAAGCTCCCAGCACTTGCGTTCCGGGGCTGCCTTTTCTGGGACAGAAACCCGCTGGGCCGGATCCAGGGCTAGCACTGGTTTTTGTCCTGCCCGGAGCCCTGCAGGGCTCCCCGGGACACTCTGGAACACTCCCTTTTGCCCTCTTCAGTGTCAGAGTTCCAACTCTGCAGTCCCAACACCCTCCCTGGATAATAATATTGAGTGCTTAATTAATTAACTTCTTCCTGTCTTACGATATGCATCTACTCAGCAGTCCCTCCCTAATATAAACAACACCTTGACGAACCCTGTCCTTTGGGCATCGTTTCCTGCCTGAAGTTCATGGGCCTCGTGTCTGACTAATGTTTGCTTGTTTTCTGCCCACAGACAATGCTGAAACTGATTCAGAAGAAACTGGTGGACAAAACGGTACGATCCTGCCCCCAGAAAGAGCCGTGGCTTTCTGGACCGTATGCTTTGTCCCTTACAGCTGAAGCCCTTTTCTCTCTCCTCCGCTCTGGCAGTGTGACCAGGTGATGGAGTTCTCCTGGAGCGCCTTATGGAACATCACGGATGAGACCCCCAACAACTGTGAAATGTTCCTCAATTACAGCGGCATGAAGTTGTTCCTCGAGTGCTTGAAGGTGTGCAAAGTCTGGGGCTTTAAAAAATGGAAAAACTTATAAATACATTGCAAAGTAGATTTGGAGGCCTCGCTTTGTGGCTCCAGTCCTGCCGACGCGTCCGCCGGAGGCTCCTTGCAGGACTGCCGAGTGCTCAGGCACGCGGCTCTTGCCGGTGGCCACGCAGCCCTATTTTGGCCACGCGATACGCACTGCCACACGTGGGTTGACTAGCTAAGGAAGCGAGCGATAGATCCCTGAATTCGACATGCTCCCATTTTGGTGGGGGCCTCAGTTAAGCGCTTCGCTTCCTCGCTTTGAAATTGTCGGGACCCAGAAGGGTGGCCCCTGGACTGAGTGGTGCCTGCAAGGCCCCAAAGACACTGGGACGCAGCAAGAGCGCAGCTGGGTCACAACAGCGCGCGAGAGGCTGCCCTCCAGCCAGCCAGAGTAAAATGACTGCCAAGTCCTATTGATTCGTATCCACCCAAAATGGAAGCACGTGTTCTGAAAAATGCAGTTGAAAATGTGCTCCTTATTTGTTTAAGAAATGTCACAATTTAACCTGGGCTGTAATTTGAAAGCATGGGAAAGGCGAGGGAAGAAGCTCAGTGGCTTTCTGTGCCAAGAAAACCGCGATGCAAAGCACTGCCATCCAGGAACAGTGGAAAACCATCTGCAGCAGGGACGCTGGCCCTCCCCGTCTTTTCCATCCAGGCAAAGGATCTCCACGTCCTCCCCAGCCTCCGATTTGCAATGCGCAGGCGCTGTGCCTCTCACCTGGGGAGTGCCTTTGTTATCCTCACCGCCTCGGGTGGGGGTTTGCATGCAGCAGTTACTCCGGCTTCCGTTTGGATTTCATAGCTGCCTCTGCTTTATTCCCCAGGAATTTCCTAACAAGCAAGAGCTGCATCGGAACATGCTGGGCCTTCTGGGAAACGTCGCAGAGGTGCAAGAGCTCCGTCCACAGCTTATGACTTCACAGTTCATCAGCGTTTTCAGGTGAGTGCATCCCTCACGTCCCCGAAGGATGAAAAGGTGGCCAAATGCTGCTGTCTCCAGCACTTAAAACTTTTGTTCTGCCCTGTTGTTGCGAGAGCTGGACCCTTCCGCCAGGAATTACCTTGAGGACGATAACCTAAAGAAAGACTGGACAGCCTTCGTGCAGAATCAGCTAATATGGGATGGGCAGCAGGGTTTATGGTGGATGCCGGGAGGACTTGCATAAGGTCAGCAAGGATTTCTGACTCCCGGTAATTTACCAGTGCAAGCAACATGGTGTATTGACGCCTCTCCTCCAGGCTCCCTAAATTATACTTCTGTGCTGAAAGAGGTATGGGGTGAGCAAGGCCTTGGAGCAAATGGGCAGGGCTTGAGCTTGGACTTGGGCTTGGCAAAATTTACTGAGTCATAAAGAGATCAGACAGATCGGATCAGGCCAGGCTTCTAACTGAATGAAACCACCACTACTACAGCACACAGTGAATGCGTTAGTTGCTTTTTTTGACAGGCACACTAGTCTGGCTTACCTTCGTTGTATATTGTGCAGTATCCCCCACCCAGTTTCTTCGATGCGCTGAGAGCCATCACTTAACTCTGCCCCCGTGTCGCTCCACTGCTGTGCCCAGTCACCGCTTTGAAAATCCAGTGGCAAAAGCAACCCTTACCAGCTGCCTCAAATATCAGGTCAACCAGGAGGCTTTGGCTTAAGGCTGTTTGGGTGTGTTCTGTGGCAGCAACCTGCTGGACAGTGAGGCAGACGGGATCGAGGTGTCCTACAACGCATGCGGCGTCCTCTCGCACATCATGTTCGATGGTCCGGAGGCCTGGATGATTTGCGAGCCCCGCCGAGAGGACGTTGTGGACCGGATGTGGGCGGCCATCCAGCGCTGGGATGTTAATTCCAGGAGGAACATCAACTACAGGTGGGGGGGACCAGGTGGTGGCCCTGGAGGTGGGAGGGGCTTTGCCCTCCTCTGGCCTGTGGGCACCTTTTGGAATTTGGGGAGCCGCTCCGAACCCTGCCGACCACGGCAGAGTGCCGCTTCGGTGCCTGGCAATGTGGCATCTGCGGATTTTAGGCAATGGCGTGTTCCGCAAATCTTCTGTTTGGTCTCTGTTGGACACTTCAGGCTGCCCCGTGCCAGCCTCCTATTTTTTTCAAGTGCAAATCTCAGATAAAATCTCAAATAAAATTAAAACCAAGAGGGGCAGGGAGCCCCTGTGTGCTTCTGATAGCAAAAGGAGCAATATTACAGAATCGGGAGGCTCCGCCTGCCAAGCAGTGGAGGGCAGGCCTGGCAGTGCCTTCTCTCTGCGTGGCCCATCGACGGACACGCCACATGCACGCACCACCCTCGCCGGGACGTGGCCTTGGCCGCCTGGCCCACTCCTGCTGGAGGCAGCGTATAATTGCTGGGAGGTTGTGGGAGTTTCCTACAGCATCGTGTGTCTGTGTCAGAAAAGGAGGGCTTCTTGGGTGCGGGGGCTCCGGGGGTGCAGCTTGGGGAGGGTGGGCCAGCAGAGCAGGCTGCTTGAGCTTAGCGCTCTGACTGCCAGGAATTGAACCTTGAGGCGCTTCGCTGTTTGGAAGAGGGTAAGAAGCTGCAGAAAAGCCACCGCGCAGTCGGTGCTGGGGAGGCGGACGTGGCTGTTCGGGAGAGCAAAGGGGCCAGGTCAGTCCCTGCTTTTTGCGGGAGATGCACCTTCTCAAACAAGCCCAAAGCCCTTGAGGTGGATCCCAGAAGATGCAGTTAGACAGATCACTTGGGTGTCTCCTCACGGGATGGATGCTTTTATCTGAAAGCTGGTGATTGGCATTTTTCCCCCAGAGCAAGCTTCAGATGCTGGGTTTGGTTTCCACTCCCCTACCCATCCTGATCCCCACAATCTCCCCTCCCCCCTCCCTCCCCTCTGCCTCTTGCACAGGTCTTTCGAGCCAATCCTTCGACTAATTCCTCAAGGCATCTCTCCAGTCAGCCAGCACTGGGCTTCTTGGGCTCTCTACAACCTCGTTTCTGTCTACCGTAAGTCCCTCCCTGAAGATGCTGTGCTTTTCCACAAAGGCAGTTTTGTTTGACAATGCATGAATTCGTTTTAATTAATCTCACCATGTCCATGTGACGCAAGCCTGCACTGACATCTTCCGTCGCTAGATAGCAGATGCCCCGACCTGGCACATCGCTTTGCAGCCCATGTGGCTTGAGAACCGGGAGGAAGAGGAGGCTGGGCTCTGTCCCTGTGCCCTCCCTCCAGGAAACCAGCCTCCTCCTCAGGGGGCTCTGGGAACGCGCCGTGGCAGGAGCCGTGCTGGGCAAGCCGGCAGGTGTAGATCTATTCAGACAAGACAGGCACGGGGGGTCTCGGTACGTTTGCCTGCAATCTTTGCTGCATCGTTATAAGAGCTTGTCCAGCCTGTGTTCCATTTGTGGAAGCCATTTGTGTTCAGGGGTGTGCGCAAGTGTGCAGTTCATGGAAAAGGGGCATCTCTTTTCCATCCATCTTTTATTTCTCCTCTTTTCTCCTGATGGGAGTTCCTTCCAACCCTCTGTCTGGAGATGTTGATCCCTTCTTAAAGAGCAAAACAAAGTCGCTTTTACAGAGTGGGGTTGAGAGCAATGGGAAATTCAAGCCAGCCTGTGTTGTTCCCATTTGCAGCGGACAAATACTGCCCCTTGCTGATCAAAGAAGGTGGCCTCCTCCTCCTGAGAGACATGATCAAAATGGCGTCGGCACGACCAGAGACAAAGGAAATGGGACGGTAAGTTTCATGGGACCAAGCGAGTCTTCCAAAGACATAAGGATGCAGACCTTGCTTTGCAGAACAAGGAAAACCTAGATGGCTGGATGGGAACCCCAGCGGGGCTGTGTCCTGGTGCTCAGAACCCACTCCTGGGCTTGGGCACCTTTGTGGCCGGTCCTGGCAGGTGTGTCGCAGGGTCCCAGCACGAACTGAAGCAGGTGCGCAGTGCTGAACGCTGCCCACCTCTGCCGGTATCTGCAGCTGCCCCACAACGCAGGCGAGGACGGGCAGAGCTCTTCCTCACTGCAGGCCGTTCTCATTTTGCTCCCCAGGAAGGTCATAGAACACTGCAATAACTTTATGGACGAGAACATGGACACGTCTAGATAGAGGGGGACGCGGTGTCCCATCTCTGGCCCGGCGCTGCATCCAGCATCTCTTCAGTTCACTGTACACAGGCTGGACTTTCTCACCAGCTTAGCTGTTGGAAGGAGCCTTTATGGGTGTTTGTGTGTGTGGGTGAGCGTGCAGGCGTGTGTATTGTCTAAAACCGAAAAGAGCCCCCACGGACAGGGAAGGAAATCGCACCTGCAGGAAAGTCGTGGCGGGAGCCATCATTTTGCACAACGAGATTCTTTCCTTTAAATAGTGGATCTCCCCCTCCCCTCTTTTGTTTGGAAAAGTACAAATTGGAGTTTGTGTGCATGTGTATGATTTCTGTATAAAAAAAAGACCAGGAAGGAAACGACTGGCATCATGTCTGTATCTGTTGACCTTGGATAGAGAGCAGGGAAAGCCTCAGGCGGGGGTCAGCGTCAGGCTCTCGCTGGAAGATGGACATTGCAGTCCGCCCCCTCTGCCTTTCTCCTCCTCGTGACACGCAGGCAGGAGGAGCCGCCGCGTGAGGTTGCTCCACGTGGGCCCAGAAAGCCGTGCTGTGCCAAGCGCAGGTCCGGTGGCCCAGAGCAGGCGTGGCCACTCAACTGGCCCTCATGCCGGTGATCTGGCCTCTGCTGGGAGCAGCCCCGCAAGCTGGGGAGAGGCAGCTGCTCTCTCGTCCCAGAGGGACCTCCTTCTGCCCTCACAGGAAGCTCTCCTCTCGCCCCTGCCCCCCCTTCTTCGCTGCTTCCCTTTATCTAGAAGCTTGATGGTGACTTGAAGATGTGTTTGCCCCTCAAGGAGGGGAGGGCAGCGAGCAGAAGTGAAGGAAAGGGGACGAAGGCCCCCCTCCTTCCCCAAGTATTCCCTTTCAGCACCAATCAAGCTCGAAGGCAGCAGCCCTGCAGCAGCACCGTACTGGATCTGGCCCAAGGGCCGGGCAGTCGCTCTGTTCCACAGGGTGGGCAGCCAGCCAGCTGCTCCAATGGGAAGCCCACATCCGGGCCATGGAAGCCCCCTGCCCCGAAATCCCCCATGCGAGGCCTCTGATCCTGGAGGCAGAACAGGATGATTGAAAGTGCTTCGCTGCCACGGCGTGCCAACACTGCTGTCCCCCAGAACAGGGAGAGGAGACGGTGGCCAGTCCAGGGGGCCTTGCTAGGAATGATGGGCCAGGCAGGAGGAGCGGAACATGATGGCAGGGCTGGTGCTGCGAGGAGGAGCAGGAGGAGGAGGTCTCGGATGAGGGTGGGGGCCGCAGGGAGCACGCAATGTTTGGCTGGCTGATTAACTGGTTCCTTTTTTCCCTGAACTGGAACCCACATCCCAATTAATCCAGGCAACCACTTTTTAAAAAGTCAGTTATTTTAATACAAGAATGTACAGAAGGTGTGAGCAGCAGGCATGGAAGAGAGCAGAGGAGTTGAGCTCGGATGCAATCCAGATTTAGGCATCCATTGGTGCCTTGAAATTTACCTCGGAGCCGTGCCCTGGGCTTCAGTGGGTTTACGCGGTGGATGACTGCATCTGCCTCTAACCCAGCCTCTAAAAAAGACATAACCACACTTTCTGGTCACATTGTTTAGTCTTGTTCAAATGTATGGTTAATCTCTGGCAATTTCTGACATCAAACGATGGATTTAGATAATGGATTTCATGGCTGCGTTCTGTGCAGGACCTACCTTAACCCTCCCTTGGTCCCCTTTGTCTGCTAAGTAGCTCTACTCCTGAGCTGTACCTGCTGAGCCTAAAACAAACCAAGTTTCTAGTCCTCATGGTTGCATATAGCAGCTTCCCTAAAGCAGATCATAGGAAGTTGCATTGTACAGAGCCCGCTCATCAGTCTGTCTAGCCCAGGAATATCAGCACAGGCCAACAGCTGTGGTCCCTCCAGGTTTCAGGAAGGGTTCCTTTGTAGCCCTGCTTGGAAAGGCTGCCGGAGACCAAACCTGCGACCCCCTGCCTGCCATGCTGGGCTCTGCTGCCAGGCCACAGACTTTCTACCCCCCTCCCACCCCCACCATCACGGATGAGCTTGAAGAGCGATCCGGTGGCTTCTTGACTCTCATGTTCATTCCGGTTTGATCGGCTGCTTGAGCTGCCCACGATGGGCTGTCGGAAAGGAAAGACAGGCATGTTGATAAGGATATGCTCAGGACCCACTTGGAGGGGGCACTGAATTCACCTGGATTTCAAGGTTTTGACTTCAGGTGGGTGATGCAGAAGTGCAACAGCCGAATCAGTCCTGCTACACTCACATTTGGGATGTAAACCGAGAACATCGCTCCCCAGCTCGGTCAGGAACAGAATGAATGAAGTTCAGAGCTGGTTCACACAACAGCTGCAGCGGATGCTGCTGAAATTCTGGCCAGTGCCGAAATTCAGCTCTCCCTGTTTGTTCAGCAGCCGGTGTGGTACTGGAGAATGCAGGCTGTGTGGAAGGAGAAGGGAAAACTGGTGTGGGCAGGGCGAGGGGGGAGCGGAAGCAAAACAGCCAGGCACGGTACCTCAGGTCTACCCAGAGCCGCCTCGCCTTCGCCTTCGCCTTCTGCTCGTCCCCACTTACCTCGCTTACCAAAGTTGGCCTGGTGGCTCCTCAGACCAGCAGAGCAGACCCCCAACTCCTTGCTGTGAGGGGGTTGGATCCAGGATGGTGCTGGTCCAAGGGTGCTGACAAAAGCAGACTTCCTCACCCCTCGCTTCCCACCGCAGTCCCTCCAGCCTCCTGAAAAAGCAGCACGGAGAGTTGGGGATGCTGCAGAAAGGGGTGTCCATGGAACAGGGGGAGCCCCCAAAATAGGGTGCAGGGATCTTCAGTAAGCAGAAGGAAGATCCCGGCCCTGGCCCTATGGGTACAGAAAAGGAAGAAAGCGGCCTTGGGCGCACTCTTATTTTATTTCACTCTGATTTTGTTCACGTTCCTGTTTTTCTGCTACTTTGGGGTATTATTGTCCTGATCTGAAGGCTCTAGCTGAAGGCAAGATCCTTGTTTATGCCAAGGGGGCCCCATCTGGCCCGTGCCTAGAGGAGTGAGTGTCTGGAAAACCAGAATGAGTTCCATCCTGGAAGGAAGGTGGAATTAATACTTGTTGTCAAAGAGGCTGGAGATGCTCCCAGCTCCTCTCCGTAAACACACAGCTCATGGCTCAGCAGTGGCTGGCTGCTGCGTGAGATGCAGAAATTGCTCTCTGGAAGGGACCAACTCAGTTCCGACTCCAAATAATTATTCTCGTTGGACAGCAGCAAACGCAGGCTTGTTTTCCCTGCGGCTGGTTTGCTTCTCGCCCTTCTGCTTTACCAGTCTTGGGAACAGCTTCATTTTCATGCCATGTTGTCTGTCTCAGGTCAAGGCAGCAGCACAAACAAGGCCAGGGTAAGCCATGGGTCACTGTTCAGACATTGCAACAAGCCATGGTTTAAGCAAGCTGGACTTTGTGCACAAAAGCAAACTATGATTTCTATGTACTGTTTGTAGCTGGTTAATAAGACATGGCTTGTTTCAGGGGACATGATAGGATGACAAGCCAGATTTCCACAAATTTGTGTGGCTTAGCTGTGTCTATAAACCAGCCCCTTGACCTTATTTTCTTTGTTCGGATAATAACAACCCCAAAGCAGGGGATATTGCTTGGAATTTTCAGGTGTCTATATCCTAATTAAAAAAAAATAGCTACCCACTTCCACGGATGACCTGTAAGGGTTAGGGTTCAGTTGACATCCCCAAGTCATACCAGAATGGAGAGAAAGGAAGCTTGGCTATCATTTCCTTGGCAGTTTTGACCAAGTTTTCCATCTTCTCCATTTTGAACAGCCTCTTCTTGGTCCTGGTGTCTGTGATGAGATTTTTAATTTGGACAATGGCTAATTGTTCTGTTTTGCTGTCATACATTCTCAATAAATAAGGAAGCTAATTTTCTTCTGCCTGGTCATGATGGTGCGAGAGAGAGCGTGTGTGTGTGTGTGTGATGGTGCGAGAGAGAGAGAGAGTGTCTCTCTTTTATTTTTAAGGAAACTAATATCCGACCTTAGTGTGCCCTAACAGGCTTTCAAGACGAGCAGAACAGTAAAAAATGCCTTCATTATCTGTTACAATTCAATAAATGCAGCCAGTAAACATTTTTTTTAAAGCAGAGTAGCAGGAAGCTGGGGTTTTGGGTTGGAACAAAGCCAAGTAGCACTGGTGACGCCTGCCATGGAGGTCCCCAGCTTTTTTGCACGGGTGGGAGCTTGAGAAGTTGAGACAGTGCTGTGGGTACTACCACAGAATGGCTACCATCAGAGGTAGGACTTGCCTGTTCCACGGATGGCTGGCAGCCACACATGGCCGATCACAAAACACAGGCAAGCTGGGGCTAAAACCCCTGTGGCAAAAGTGGGTGTTGGCAGTGCTGCAGGGAGCCAGTCTCCTGGGGTTTTGTTTTTAGAAAACTTAAATATAAAAATCGGCAGGAGCAAAGAATCTGGTGGGCACCAAGAGAGGCCTCCATGAGCAATTTGGTAACCGCAGGAAGGATGCTCAATACTATGAATGCATCATCCAGGGAGACTGGGAGCTAAGCAGAGATGAGAAAACTGGAAACATCATTGTGATGTGTTGTCACAAAGGCACAGCCCTGTGCACAATCATCCTCTCCTGGAGCTGCAAGGTCTGCCCACTGGCCCCCCAGGTCCTGTAGTTGCCCATTATAAGGCCAGTGGTGCACATGAGACTTGTGCTGTTAGTGCCCCTGGTCTCTGCCCCCAAGGAGCTTACAGTCTGCAATTCAACGCACACTAAACAACCAAGGAATGGGAGGGGAATGCAGGCTGGGATCAGAAGGGAAGCCAGGTGCCATCAACACACCACATGCTTAGAACTGGGCTGAGGGCGTGGGATTCAGTCCAAGCGCTTCACAGAAGAGGCGAGTCTTCATTTGCAGGAACTGAAAGACGCAAAAGATGTTACTTTGCCTCCGTGTTCTGGGAGGCATTTCCAAGAATTTTAATAGTGAGAACTAAGAGCTTATATGCTGTACCTTGCAATAGTTACAACAACCCTGCAGTGCACGCAGGTGAGTATTTTTATCCACCGTGGACCAGGGGCCAATTCTCGGCTCATTGCACCACCTCTACCTGGCCCCACTGTTTTCCCCTGCAGCTACACGGCACACGCGTTAAAGGCCTGGGTTTAAATCCAGGCCTTGAATCCCTCCTTGGCCCTGAAGCTCAGTGGGTGACCTTGGAAGGGGCACCGGCACTCAGACGAACCCTATGCGGGGGCCCGTTTGTGAGGATAAGACGGGGAGGAGGAAACCTCTCCTTGCCGTAGGGAAAAAAGACAGGATGATGATGATGATGATGATGATGATGATGATGATGATGATGATGATGATGATGGCGGCAACGATAAAATGCACAAGGGCACCCCCCCACACACACACACACACACGGGCGCCCGCGCACGAAGCTCTGAGCGTAGGCAAAGACACGTGTAGTGCCTTCCTCCCATGCCGCTTTCCTGGTGAGGATCCGTGTCGCCTGCGGGGCCCCCTGACGCAGACGGGCAAACCCCAGGCCTCGGTGCGCTGCAGCCGCCGGGCCTCGGGGAGACTCGCGCGGCCCGCTTCGGCTCGAACGCGACTCCCGGCGGGGAGGGAGAAGGCCAAGCCTACAACTCCCATCATGCCCGCCGGGCCCCGCCCCCGCCCGCTGTCCAATCGCCCCCCGGGGGCGGGGCCCGGCGCTTCCGCGCTGGGCAACATCGCCTGCAGCCGGGCTCCGCGGCCCGGGCGCAGGATGCGGGCGCGGGTGGGCGGCGGCGGCGGCGGCGGCTGGCGGGCGCGGGCAGCCCAGACGGCGCTCAGCTGGGGCATCGCCGCCGGGCTTTTCCTGCACCCTACGGGTGAGACTCCCCCCTCGCTTCGAAGGAGCCCTGCGCCCCTCCTCGGCTTTGGACTCAACTCCCATGAGCCAGCTCCACCGGGTGATGGGAGCTGTAGTCCGCAGTGGCACCGCGTGGAGGGAGGCCGCCCTCCCAAGAGTGCCCGCGGGCGGGGTGGCCGTGGCGGCTGGGACGGGAGGCGTCCTGGGTTCGGATCCCGCCCGGCTGCGATGCTGCCAGGAGCCGGCCGGGCTCCTCGGGGCGTCCGCTGATGCCGCGGCGTGGAAGTGGGCGCCTTCCCGCCCGGCTGCCGGTCTGCTCCGCCCACCTCATAGGGCTGTTGTGGGAGTAAACTGGGGAGAGCAGAAGAAAACCAGCGCTGAAAGGGTAAGTGTGGACCGCGGAGAGGACGGGGCTCGGCGAAGAGCCCCTTCCCCAAATACTGGCATCCGCAGCCATTCAGGTGGTTTTGCTGGGGGCATGACCTCGGCACCCCGACGCCAACCTTTTTCCTCCTCCCTGCCCGTGCTTTTTCCTTGTGTGCCCAGGCCGCCGATCTGTCCAGCCGACGCTGGGCCCGGTTTCCGCGAGGCGCGCCTGCAGCCCCCGGGCCCGCTGCGGTGCGCGGCTGCTCTGGGCACACGCCCCCGAGGCCGCGGTGCGTCGGTGCATTTTCCCCGAGAGCTTCCTTCCTCCTTTCTCTCCAGATCTGAGGAGGCAGGTAGAGCAGCGAGAGCTTCTCCAGCCACTCTCGTTCCTCGCCTTGGTTCTCTGCTCCGTTTTCCTCTACTTTGTGGTCTCTCTCATGGATCCGGGGTTCGTGGAGCACGATAAGGCCGAAGAGGTAATTCTGTTGCGTGGGGCTGTGCTTTCCTTGCATTTCACTAATCAGGCATGCAGGATGGAAAATACCTTCGCGTGCATTTATGTAAAGTATTTTTGGCTTATTCCCATACACCACAGCCAAGATAACTCCTAGAGCAGCTTCTGTAGAATCGGGCAAAAGAAATAGTTGCTGCTTCACTCTTGTAATCCAAACAGTCACAACGCATGAGAAAAAAATGGGAAAGAAGAGAAGAGGGATTTTTTTAAAGGGGGAGTGCCCCGGCTCCTGGGTGCAAGGTTGAGGAAGGTCGACTGAGAATCCCTGGAGTACCAACTTGCTGCTGGAAGGCAGGGAGCAAATCAAATTAAGAAATATTGAATATTGAAGTCCCATGCTTCAGCCTGTGCTTTCCCCCTCCCTGACTTTCCCCTTATCTGGCTTTTATTTATTTATTTATTTGATTTGTTTGAAAGCCACGCTTTAGCATCACACTCTCTGGGCAACCATTGCAATAAAATACCAATGAATAACATTAAATAAAATGATGCAATTAAAATATCATCATAAATAAACAAGGTAAAATCACGTATATGTAGTTATGTAAAAATAAAACATATGGTGGACATGCCACGAGTGGAGCCGCTAGAGCCGGGGGTCAGACTAGATGGCCCGGGAGGATCCTTCTGACTTGCTCTGTTTCTCTGTTGCTGTATTAAAAGCAGTGCAATTAATGCAGATGATCTAAGTGGTGGCATGTGTGGGCTGGAAAAGAAAAGTTTTACGGTTTTGTGTGGCTGTCGTTGCTAGGATCCTGCGGGCAAAGAGCAGAAGGCGATGGCATTCCCACAAGGTCCGTCCCTTTGCCTCCGACGCTGCGGATACTGCATGCTGAAGGTTTGCCATGCCGGGGCAGCGGGGCACCCGAACCAAGCCCAGGGCCGGGGGCAGGCTGCCTAGAAGGGGGGAGGCAAGTCTGAGGCTGTGCCCAGTGGCCCCCCCCCCCCGAAGGCCTTCCCTGCTGCTGTGGCCTGCAGAAGGCAGGTTGGAGGGTCTCTCCCTGCTGGGGGCTCCCTCTTTCCATATAAAAGTGGATGGAGCAGGTGGTCGGCCTGCCCAGAGGGCCTCCAAGCGCCTTGTGCAGCTGCATGCCCATCTTCCACAGCAGCATCGCCCAACCCACCTGCAGGGCAGGGCAGGGCAGGGCAGGGCAGGGCAGGGAGGAGGCTCCCCTGCCTGCCTTCTGCCTGCGAGGCGTTCCCTTTGCACGCTTCCAGTTTGCCCTGTGCCTGCAAGGAAAGGGCATTCAGAGCTGGGAAGGGCAGAGCAGGACCCCTGGGATCGCTGCAGAAGACGTGAGGCGGGGAGGCAGGACCGCAGTGTCCGGACTGGCGCAGGATGCGGAGGGTGGAGAGGGAGGCACTCTTCTCCCGCCGTGATCACACTGGGCCCGAACTTGAAGGGCGGCCCAAAGAAAAGTCCCTGTTCACACAGCAGAGCATTCGGCAGGGATTTCACTTCCACAGGCTGTAGTACTGGCTGCCAATCTGAACAACTTTAAAAGGGGCGTGGCTAAATGCCTGGAGTAGAAGGCTATCAATGCTACTAGTCCTCATGGCTCAAGGCTTCTGCAGGATTAAGACACTATGCCTTCCTACACCAGTTGCTTTGGAACGCGGGCAGGAGGAAGCTATGGGTTGCCCACAGACAGCTGATCTTCCTAGGGAAAAGTGACTGCTCCCAACGTTCCCCAGCCCGTGGATAATGGGACGGATTTCCCAGAATCCTTCTGTGAAATGGAACGGAGAGCAGTGGTGCTGCTTGTTCTGTGCTCTCTGCAGCAGCCGATGCGGGCCAAACATTGCCAGGTGTGTCAACACTGCGTCCGGCGCTACGACCACCACTGCCCCTGGATTGAGAACTGCGTCGGGGAGAGAAATCACGCCCTGTTCCTCGTCTACCTGGCGGTTCAGCTTGCGGTTCTCCTGTGGGCATTGCTAGTGGCCTGGTAAGCAGGTGACCCCCATCTCCCAATCTCTTTTGGGCAAGTGGCCATGGTTGGAAGTTTGAAGGAGTGTTGTGGGCACTGTCACAAAATGGCTGCTGGTGAACAGTTCGCTTGTTCACAGCAAAGCAGCAAGGATGATCCAGGGACTGGAAACAAAGCCCTGGGAGGAGAGATGGAAAGAACTGGGCATGCTCAGCCTCAAGAAGAGAAGACTGGGAGGTGGGGAGGAGACAGGGTAGCCCCCTACAAGTACCGGAAAGGCTGCCGCAGAGGAAGGGCAGGATCTCCTCTCGAAGGACGCGGAATGACGGGCCCAAGTGGCAGGAAGCCAGATTCTGGCCAGACATCAGGAGCCGCTTCCTGAACGTTAGCGCAGTGAGGCAGCGGAAGCAGTCGCCCCGGGCGGCCATGGGCTCTCCTGCGCTGGAGGTGTGCGAGGGGCAGTCGCAGAACCGTCTTCCAGGAATGGGTTAACTGGGGGCGAGTCCCGCGCTGCGCGGGGGCCAGTCGCGATGGCCCCGGGCACCCTCCGGCTCTGCTATTCTCACGACTCTCGGGGAGGGCCCTCTGTTCGAGGCCGGGGACGCCCCCCCAGAGCCACGAGCAAACGACGCCCGGACTCTGGGAGCCGCGGTCCCGGACGGCGCCCGACGGCCTCGTCTCTCCCTCCCGGACCAGGTCTGGCCTGGGCGGCGGGCCGCTCTCCTGGGCGTGGCTGCGCCATCGCGCCCTCCTGCTCCTGGCCTTCCTGGCGATGGCCGTGCTCGCCGTGGTGGCCGTCCTCCTGCTGGCGTCGCACCTGTACCTGGCCGCCTGCAACACCACCACCTGGGAGTTCATGTCCCGCCACCGCATCTCCTACCTGAAGCACTGCGAGGCCGAGAACCCGTTCGACCGAGGCGTCCTCCGCAACCTCTGGCGGTTCTTCTGCAGCCGCCGCCTCGTGGCGTGGGAGCAGCTCTACTCCCCGGAGGACGGCGGCGCCGTGTGACGGCCGGCAGCGCCGAGACGAGGGCCGGGCGGGGCAGCGGGACACGCCGGTGGGCGCCGTTTACGCCTCCTCCGAGGCGGGAGATGGCACTGGGCCACCTCCCAAGAAAGGCCTTCCTCGCCGCCCAGCCTTGCACAAGCGGAGGCCACGCTCCGGCAAGCCATCCTCAACCAGCCCCGTCTGGGGATGCTGCCCCCGCTCCGCTTGGGCCCCCGCCAGCTTGCCTGGGCAGAGAGGACCGTGCCCGGCCACCCTCCGCCGGAGCCACTGGGGAGCTGCAGGGCTTGGGGCTGGATGGCTGGACGGTGCAGCGGCGGTCGCCTCGCTTCTCACACGGTGCCTTGAAGCAGCCCCTCTGGGCTGAAGCCATTCTGCAGAAAAGACCGTCCCTTGCACTGGCCCACGGCCCCCCTGGGCAAGACTGCGGCCCGGACAGCCCTCGGTGGGGGTGCCAGGCCGGGGTGGGGCGTGCCGCTTGCACTGGGCTGACGGCCGGGGGCACTGGGTGCTCGCGCTCCTTGTAGCCGAGGCGTCTTTCCATTAAAGTTCTTGGACGAGGCGTCTGTGACTGCAGTCAGCCGCGATTCGGGTTTGGGGTTTAGCCCCCCCCCCCCCCCGCTTTAGCTGCTCAGTGACTCTCAGCCCATCCTCTGTTGGGTTGTTACAAGGATAAGCTGGCGGGCGGGCGGGGGGGGGGGGCTTGAAAGGCAGCATGGGGCAGTGGGTACAGCACTGGACCGAGCCCTGGCCCCACCACAGCCATGGGGGTCACTGCGCAACTTTGGGCCTGTCACGGACTCCCAGCCTTCCCTACCTCACCAGGGTGTTGTGCGGATCCAGTGGAGCAGGGTCACCCAAGCTGCCCGGGGTTCCTTGCAAGAGGCAAAATGGCAGGATATAAGGAATACAGAGTGAATAAAGCCAAGGGAAGCCCTGAGGCTGGATCAGACCCGGGTCCGTCCAGCCCGGCAGGCTGTTCCCACAGCAGCCAAGCCGCCGCAGTGGGGCTGCAACAGCCAGGACCCCTCGCGGTGCCCGCCCGCCCGCCGAGGCACCCCCTTAGAGCGGGGCAAGAAGAGCAGGGCCTTTGTCCCGAGCGTAGCAGTTGCAAACCAGAGGGGCAAGGGACAGCTTCTCGCCTCTCCACCTTCCGCTCAGGTGGATGCCAAAAAACCGCTTCAGTGGTAATTTTTGTCAACCACCTGTTCACACAGGAAACCCTCTCCCTGATCTGGTTTAGTATTCCAGACAGTTTAATGTCAAAGATTCAATCACAACGGGTCGTTCGGAAACACAAGATTGTGCAGTCTCTTTCTCTATGTGAATTTCTCTTTCTGCTTCCAGTTGGACTGGAATTCTCCAGCTGTTATATTGTTTCTCTACCAATCCCGCTCTTCAATGTTTTCCCCCTTTCCCATATTTTATACCAAAGACATTCACGGAAAAAAAATCCACACATTCTTTCTAGCAGCCCTGCAGTGCAATCTTTGGAGGCAAACCAGCGAGAATAAATCAAGCCCCCCCCCCCCACAACTGGTGCTGCAGAACTCTTTAACCAGAAATATAAATGCTGCATTCACAAAGCAAAGCAAGGCAAAGCACCAGCTCTGCTCTGCTCTGCTCTGCCCTCAACGGGCTGGAAAGACAATGGAGAGTCTTTATTTTCAACTCAGTCGGAGAGCAAACACTCTGGAATTTTAATGTGTCGTTCTCCGTGGAGAAGACAGGCAAAGCCTCCACGAAGACAAAGGCTGCCTTTCATGCACGAGCGGCAGGCGCATGGTAGGAGCAGGCTGTGGCACATGGGCCTGCCCTGCAAGTGCTGCAGAGGGAAAGCTGCTGCAACTTGTGTCGATGTGGACGCCTGCAGGGGGGCAGCTGCTGCGACGCACCAACTGCGAGGGCTTCAGTGCAGTTTGCTGCCCCGAGTTCCCAGGGATGCAGAAACTCAGATTTCCACCCTGCAGACTTCCACGTACAGATGTCAAAGAGGCCACGCGCGATCCACCACACAGGAGCTCCCAGAGTCCGTGTCTGTACCGCTTATGTGTGAACCGTCTGCCAGCTTCGCGGGGGTCCTCGCTGTGTCCGTTGCGCCTACCGTGTGAGCAGCCGAGCAGCTGCACAGGCTGCAACCAGCACACTGTGGATGAGCCATTCCGTGTCTTGAAAACGTGGCACTGGTGGGGCTCTGAGTGGCCTCCGTGGTGAGAGACCTGCCATGGCCCTGCTCCGGCAGGTTGGATTTGCTTGGAGTGGAGGACCACACGGCATGGCCATCGGTGCCTCCTGTGCTGGAGGAGGAAGCGCCAAATTCCACGGGACCAGGGCTTGGTTTTGACGATGTTTGGCCACGCCGTTCTTCCCTCCGTCAACCACCCAGGCAAGCACACAAGCTTGTTCTTGGCTTTCGTTCGGGGTGAGTTTTACCAAGGGTCTGTGTGAGGCCTGGCCCTGATCCCAAGAGCCACCCGGGGCCCCAAAACGGTTCCGTTTCCAGAAGAGGATTTCTGCATCTCCCACGCAGGAGAGAGAGACTCAAACCAGCCCTGAAATCAGGCACTCCTTCATTTCTCAGGATGGGAAGAGGCAAGAAAAGTTCTCTTTGGATCAAGATGGAGCCAGCTGGAAGAGCACTTGTGTTTTCTGCAGAGCCGTGCCACATTTGAAGCAGCTGCTGGTCCCAAGAGAAATTGACTTTTTAACCATGCAGCACACCACCTGAACGAGAGATCTTTGTTTTCAGGCCCTTGTCTTGGCTGACAAGTCCTATCACTTCCCTAGACGGGCCGGCTTGATGGGAGCTGTAGGCCAGAAGAAATCTCCCCCCGCCCCCCATTTAAAGACAATCAAGTGTGCTCCAAGCATCTCTTCACAGCACAGGCCTGGCAGGAGGAGGTGCTTCCCAGGTAAGCAAAATGTTTTGCAGTCTATATCTTGCACAGTTTCCAAGACCTCGTAGACTAATTCTCAAGGTCAGGTACCCCGTTTCCCCAGCCCAGGTCTCTCTTCCAGCAGCGACTGCCCTGCCCCTGCGTCAGCCCTGGAGGAAGCACGGGGAGACAAAGTCGAAGCCTCTGAACCTGGCCTGCTCCTCCGCACTCAGAGGGGGCAGGAGATCCGGGGGTGTGAGGACGGCCTTCTGGGAGGTGAACGCCCTGTCGAAGTGGCTGGTGTCTGCGGCCCCCTTCAATCGGGGCACAAACGGGGGCGTGACGGCCCTGGCAAGGAGGGCACCCCAGTCGATCTCCTAGAGGAAAGGAGGAGAGAAGCCCGGAGGAAATCTGTCCACTGGCTAAGACCGCCGTGAGAGCTTAGCCCGGAGTTCTTCCCATTCTCAGCCTTGAGCACTGGGACACCTCCACCCCCAGGGGTCTCCCAGGATCTCAGGCAGGCCACGGCCTCCCGGTACTTCCTTCCAAAAGGTTCCCGACGGCTTATTCGGCAGCTCCAATCCAGGCAGGCCTGCTGTCCGCCTCGCTTCAGGAGCAGGGCAGAGTCGGCAAGACCAGAGAAGGGGAAGGGGCCTACATCCCGTCAGGGAGCAGTGAGGGAGGGCGGCCCCCATTACCTGGAAAAAGGGGTGCATTTTAATTTCTTCCGCATCCCCGACGCCTGCCCCCAGGCGACGCTCCGGGCACTTTTGGAGAAGCTGCACAAAGTACAAACACACAAAATCTGGTGATGGAGAAAGCGCAAAGGTGGAGGAGAGGCCAGCCGGCCAGCCCCACTCGGTCCCAGCATGCCATGCCCGGCTCTCCCAGCACCCGCCACGCCTTCTTCCCATCCCAACGGTAGTTGTACTGCTTCAGGGTTCCTTAATTGTGTTTGAATGGGGAGGCTGATGGGCCCTGAAGCAAGAACCGTCTTCTGGGGGGTCAAAAGAGAGCCCTCATAGTTTGGCGCTCAGCAGCCTCCTGCCTGGGATTCCAGTTCTCGGGCAAACCTTTCTATTTGTAGCTGCATTATTTTGCCTTGTAGGAAATCTCTCTCTCTCTCACTCCGTCACCTAGTATGTTTGTGCTCCGTTTGTGCTTGTGCCTGTCTGTGCCAACTGTGGCAACCACTTTTATAAATGGGCAAGCCCCATCCACATGAAAGCCATTTTGTCAGTGGCTAAGCCAGGCCCTGTGACAGCCATTTTGTGAGGTCACCTGCAGCTCTCAAAGTTGCCCCAGCAAACCAGAACTGCCAGGCACCCCAGGACTCACAGGTTCTGGTTGTCAAAGGGCAAAAGAGTGAGAAAGGCAAGTAGGCCAATCAAGGTGGGAACTGAAGCCCCACCTCCACGAGGACTAGCCGCACCAGCCCCACTGAAACAAGTTGCCAGACCTCTCTGCACAGTTGAAGTAGGCCTTCAGGTAAGCAAAACTTCCCATCTCTTTGTGGAAACCCAGGATCGTACCTTCTGCAATATGGAGGCTGTGTGCGAAGAAAGGAATTCTGGGAAGTGTATGGATTCGTTGATGATGCTGTCGAACACCTCCTCTTCATTATCACCAGGAAAGGGAGACTGGAAGGGAGGGAGGGAGGGAGGGAGGGACAGGCGTTCTGTAGGTCCAACAGTCCAAACCACGTGAGCGAGCCCCACACGTTTTTTAAATGTACATTGCAAAAGCTGAGCAGGGAAAGATTTCCAAAGCGCAGCAGCTTCATGAGGCGCTTCCAGAGTTGCCCCGGCTTGTTGAGAGAACGACCCCCCCCATGGGCTCTTTGCCCTGCCAGTGGCTGCAGCTGCCCGTGTTTACCCCCCTTCCTCTCCCCACGCGGAAAGCGCTTCAGCCATCCGAGCGGAGCGAGGGCCTCAGCCACGTCCTCCACAGTGGCCCGCGTGGTCTCTGGGCCACGCTGGACGGGACCTTAAATCCATGCTGCGGCCTTAGTTCAAACTTCCTGCGGCTACCTGCCTTCCTGAGGCCTTGCACCACAACCCCACACCTGCGAGGCCGAGGAGGTATGCTATTTACTCCAGAGGAGGTGCAGGGGCCCCATCCAGATTGGGACCATAGCAAGGAGGCGTCAGCTGCTCGGGGAACCTTTGGGTTTTGGGGTGGCATAAAAATGGAATGAAATACATTAATAATGAAATCCGACGGGGCCCCACACATTTTACCCTGAGTAACAAGGCAGAGCCACTCGGCCGTGGTTTAGAGTGCGGCCTGTTTTGACCCCGAGGCCATTGCCGTGTGGCCCTGGGTGTAGAGGGTGCCCCCACTCCACAGTTTCCTAAACACCTCCTCGTTCGGGGATCTTGAAGCCGCTTAAATGTTTTGCCAGCCAAATACATACTATAATAAATAGCACAAGCAGCGCGTGTGGGTGCTTCTTCGTCCGCCTGTGCCGCAGCGTCAGGGCCGTGGAGCCTAAACACCAGGACGCCAGCGGGACACCGGGCCCCTTGGGGTTAGGCTGCTTTTAAAGCACACTACTGGCTTGTAACTCACGAGCCTGCGGCGGCATCCCCAGCCACCGGACGGCAGGGCCCTCGGCGGAGCTGAAGGCGCCCAGGGCTGGAGCGCAGCCCGCACGCTGCCGTGGGCCAAAGTGAGCGGAGCTCAGGAGGGAGAGGGCTCTGATGACACTCTGCGCCGCCGCTCTGGGGCAAAGCCCTCGAGGGAACACAGTGGCAGGCCCCCCCGACAAGGGGCTATCGGGGGGCATCACCACAGAGTCCGCTCCTGGCGTTGCTCGGACAGGGCGGGCCTGAGGGCTCCTCGAACCCTGCACCTCGCCCCACTAGAAGCTTACCTGGAGTGGCGGGAGGCCTGCAGAAACGGGATTTCAACGGCACAAATAGGGGCAAGGGTTCCACGCATGTGGTCACACAAGAGGCCTTGTGAACCGGAAACGCACTGCGTGGGCTTGGAGCAGAGGCACCAAGAAAGTGCGACGGCCTGTCGGAATGCCACACCAAGCCCCCTCTGGCCCCACGGGCGGGAGCTCCGCAGGACTTTCCAAGGCAGGGCCCCCCCTTCCGGAACGGCCGCCTCCCTCGTGGAATGGCGGGGGAGGACTGTGCGGAGCAACGGCACCGCCGAGGGGGTGGCTCAACCGGGAGTCCGGTGCTGAGCAAGGGGCTGGGCCGGTGGCCCCCTGGCCCCTCCCGGCTGCACGGGGCTAGGCTTCCCGCCCCCGGAGCAGCACATTCTGCGCTGGCCATACGTGCGAAGCCAAACGGCCGCTCGCTGGGCCAGGCGCCTGCCACGGCGCCACTCACCTCTCCAAGGAGCATCTCGAAGATGAGCACTCCGAGCCCCCACCAGTCCACCGCGCGGGTGTAGGACAGGTCGGTCAGGACCTCCGGAGCCAGGAATTCGGGGGTGCCACAGAACGTGCTTGTACGGTCGCCCAAGCCGATCCCTGCAAGGGCGGAAGCAGAGGGAAACACAGGCCTGGCAGGCCGGAGAGGCAGAGCAGGGCCTGGACCGACTCCCGCAGGCACCGAGCGACTCCCCCCGGGCGGGGGGCTCGCGGCGGGCAAAGGTGCCAGGGGCCCTCGCAGGGCTCCAGGCCCGACCTCAGATGTGGCCTGGCCCCAGCTACAGCGACCCACACGTGTTAGGAGCGGTTGGTGGCTTGGCCGATGTGCCACAAAGTGCCAGCCAGCTGCACACTCACCCTCCTTGCAGAGGCCAAAGTCGCCGAGCCGCACGAAGCCCTCTGCGTCCAGGAGCAGGTTGTCCAGCTTGAGGTCCCTGCGGGCAGAGCGAGAGCGAGAGCGAGAGCAGAGCCCGACGTGCGCACGGCCTGGCATGAGACGCCCATGGGATGGGCGGCTTGAGGGGGTGGGCGCGGACCCTCCTGATGGCCCAGTGCGCCCCCCGTGGCCCATGGCCACGAGGATCTCCCGAGCTCCCAGGCCTCGATTTCTGCCGGTGCCCCCGGACAGATCCAGCCCCCCGACACCGCCGCTGCCCACTCAAGCTGCAGAGAAGCGCTCTCCGTGCCTCTCTTCCCAGGCACTCGCACCATCGTACCTGTAAATGATCTTGTTCTCATGTAGGAACTGGAGTCCCAGGACCACGCAGGCCGAGTAGAACCTGCGGAAGGAGGCCCAGGCAGGCAAGTGTTGGAACCAGCCTGAACACACAGACCCAAACAGCTGCTCATGCTGTAAGAACTCCAGATATAGTTCGTGCCTCCCCTGCTCCCGAAATGCCGCGCCCAGGAATGCTGGGCTGCAGAGGAGCAGATGCCATCGCTTGGAGAAGCGGCGGTCCGCTGGGGAAGAGAAAGCGGGGCTGGGCTGGGGGCGAGCCCTGCAGCCCGCGATTCTCTCGAGGGAAGCAGCCTGGGACCAGGAACAGGCCCCCGTTTTTCCAGGGATCAAGGACAATGACAGCTCATGGACACGGCAACGTTTCCCTGCAAAGCTCGCAGGCGGATGGCTTGTTCTTTCAGAGTCTGCATTCCTTTTCTGCAACTTTGGGATTTTCTGTGAGCTATTTGTTGGCACTTTCCCAGTCCGGGACTCCCCCCACCAGGGCCCCGCAATCATGACCCTTGAAAGAGCCCCAAAATGCGCCCCGCAAATCAGCTGCAACATTTCCTCACAAGTGGTCTTGGCTGCCCCTCCAGAGCAGCCCCCGCAAAAGGCTTCGCGGCACCATAAAAAGGAGGCCGTCTGAGGAAATTCATTCCCTGCCCAGTTACTGTTGGAAGGGCAGCTAAGCTCTGAGGAAATGGAAGTCCAAGGAAGGGGATTATGTCAGCAACCCGGCTAATGAAAAAGCCCCCGGGCTCCCCCCCCCCCATGCCGCTTCCTCACTGCACTCGGCAACCTTTGATTGCTTTCTGATTGCAATCAGTGGGGTGTTCTCCAGACAATCATCCCAGAGCAGTGGGGAAGGGAAACGGGCTGGGTTTGTGGAGGCCAATAAGGACCAAAGGCGGGGCCCACAGCACCACCTCAGGGACCCCAAAGCGAGTCCCGTCGTGTGATCCAGAAGGGCTGGCATGTGGGGTGAATAAAACACACCCACCGTGTCACGGGTTCGGGGAAGTTGCCGATGCAAATACGCATCATGAGGTCCCCGCCTGGGGCATAGTCCATCACGAAGCAGGCGTGGCTTGGCGTTTGGAAGCAAGCGACCATGTTCACCAGGAAGGGGTGGCATGCGGTGTTGATGACTTCAAAGATGCGCTTCTCACAATACAAGCTGCCGTGGAAAAGTTAAAGGAGAACATCACGAACGATTTCATTGTACTGTGCCCTTTCGCGCATTTCTCCCAAGAATCATGAGGACTAGGAACCAGCTTTTTAAATTTTAAATTAAAGGTCAGGATCAAGTAATTCCCCACGTACAGGCTTCAGAAGGGCAGTCTGAGCCATTGAGATTTCTAGGTTTTGGCCAAGCTGGAAATGTTCGTATTTTTCTCCTGGCAAACATGCTGTGCAGAAGTGGTGGAGGGGGACATTTTGAAGTGTCCTTCCAGGTATTGTGAGGACTGCAGGTAAGCTCAAAGGGAACCGGAACATTTGACTGGGGCAGCAACATCCCTGCTATTAAAAAGTGCCAAGGATTGCATCCCTGTAGGCCTGGAGCTGCTACACCACTGCTAATGACAAGTCTCACCAGATCAAGGGTTGCTTGCGGTCCCTTGGCAAAGACTCACCTGTCCACATCATCTCGGCTAATGATTTCATGTTTCTTCAGGGCTTTGATGGCAAACAGCTTCCCTGCCTCCTTATGCTGAGCCAGCAACACCTGAAAGACAGCCGTGGAGCCTTGGAAACTCGGAAGGCCTTGCTCTTCCTAGGATTTGCCTTCTTCACACATCTTCTGCAACTGACTGCTTAGCACACACACATCCATAGTTGCTCATTCTTGTTAAACAGCAACTGCCTAATTCCAATCCAAGGAATCGCTTCCCTTCCCGTACACCTGGCCATGAGAACTTAGCAAAGGCAGCCTAAAAGATTTCAAACTCTTCATGATGATAAGTACATAAATAAGCTAAATACTTTGGAAAGATTCCAGCTTTCTCTCTTCTGTATTTTCCCCTATAACCATGAGGACTCAGAGCCACATTTTAAAATAAAAGGACAGTAAATGATCCCTCACTTGTTTCCTGGCTCAAAGTCAGGCCTGCCCTCAAACCCTGTTTTGGAAAATTGAGAATCTAGAAATAAAGCACAGCCGTGCACCCCATGAAATCACCAACCTTTTATGCATATACAGAAATAATTTGTGGGGAAGCCGCAATATTTGCAAGTGTTATCCCCACTCCAAAAGTGAAAGAGGGACCGCAGGCATTACGTGGCCCTGGAGCCTGGGCTGAACCTCTTCCTTTCAAAGCACACCCGAGACTTGGGTTCCTCCGATTCATTTCACGTGAGCGCCTGAGCATCTGCCACAGTGGCAAGTAGGGGCTGGCCAGGGCAAGGCCTCATCCTCACATTCTACCTTTCCAAAGTGCCCACGCCCAAGCACGGCAAGGCAAGAGAAATCCTCCCACTGGACCGTCCTCTTCCTCCTGCGAGCGGAGGAAAAACAGGTGAAAGGAGCTGCTGGGGAGAACATGGTCGGCACATGCGCCAACGGGGGGCGCAACCAGAAGGGGCCGGGCGGCTGAGGGGGGCAGCAACGGGAGCACGGGGGGAGGAGGAAGGCTTGCAGCTGCGCTCATTCGGAAAAGAACGTATGTGAGGCCATAGAAGGTTGCAGAGGAAACCCAGCTCAGTTCCCAGAGCTCTTGCGACTTGGGAAGGGTGGGACAGTAAAGATGATTGTGTCGCAAGGGGATCCCAAAGCCAGAAGAAGAGCGCTGCTCCCCCCGCCCCCGCATGAGAAAAATGGGAGGGAGAGCACCTGGGGAGTGAGCTCTTGCCTCAGGATTGGGAGCCAGAGGGAAGAGCAGCAGCAGCCTGCCTAGAAGACGACCCTGTTTTTCCCTCTTCCCTCCCCATCCCTCTTTCCTTGCATGCCGTGTCTTTTCAGTTTAGAAGACTACAAGCAGGGAAAGACCAGGGCACGGAACAGGTAAGGCTACTGGGGTCTTCCCAGATGCTTTAAACTACAACTCCCTTGGCCATTAGCCACACTTGCTGGGGCTTATGGGGGCTGTAGTCCAAAGGCATGAGGAAAACACTGGGTTCCCTTTCACTGGACTGGGCGTCTCGACAAAGGAAGGTTTCACTCTGAGTCGCCAAGTGACTCGACGAATCGTCTTCACCTGTGTTGGCTGGCCTGTGCGCCAACGGAGGCCCTTCACGTCCACCTGCCTCTCAGTCAGGGGAGGGAAGGCAGCGGCTTTATGGATAAGCAAATATTATTGCTCTTCCTCCTCCTCATACATTTTTATTTATTTATTAAAACATTTCTATGCCGCCCCTTGCTGAAGCCTCGGGGCGGCTCACAACATAGAATATAATACACAATAAATTAACACCCCATTGTTCGCATTATTATGAGCATCATTATTATTCCCTTTATTATAACAATTCCTGCTGTTGTCATTCTTATTCTTGCTATGCTTATACCCTGCATTTACGCGCTGCCTTTCTTCCTTGCACGAGGAGCTCGGGCCGGATCACAAGGCTCCTCACCTCTCCCTTTTATCCTCACAGCCACCACCCTGTGAGGTAGGCGATGCTGAGCACCGTGCCTGCCCAAGGTCACCCCGTGAGCTCCAAGGCTGAGCAGGGACCCCACGGGCTGGGATCTCCCGTGTCCTGGTCCAGCGCTCATCCCGACGCTGACTTGGCTCTCCCCCCACTGGTGGGCATTTTGCCAGAGCAGCAACGAGACTCTCACAATTCTGGATGCCTGGCCAATCCAGACAGGGAATGTGGAACACCTGGAGTCCTGCCAAGCGCTGGACTGGAGGAAAGGACGAGGGCAAAGACAAACCCAGCACGCTGCTCCCGCTCTGCTGCTCTCCTGGCAGACACCCGGCAGGGGTCTCGTGAACTCCAACTCTGATCATCCCCGTCCAGCTTCTTTGGACTCTGATGTGGAAAAGGGAAGAGGGAAGTCTTGTGAGGCTGAACAGGGCTGCTAGTCCTGCAGAAGGAGGGCAGTTCAGCTCTGCGCTGGGTTCTCCTGGGGTGCACGAAGACAACCATTCCCTCCCTGTGCTGGGGGGGAGTGCGGACACCCGCAGAGGGTCCCTCATGGGCCTTTTCCTAAGGGCTTGCCAAGGCGGGCAAGAAAAGGGCATTCTCCAAACAGCAGAGTCACTCACGCCTATTCAGGAATCTAAATGCAAAACTCAGGGGGCACCTGGGCCCCAGAACACACCACCACTTTCTGGAGGTGAACTAAGCTGGGTGGCGGGCAGCACCCCCCCATTTGCAACAAAATAATTATGGCTCTGAAGAAAGAAATTAAAGCTCAGGTGTGGCAGGGAGCTGGGCAGGCACCGTGGCGTCCCTGGGAACCAGGGTGAGGTCCCAGGGCCGGCCCCACGGCACCCCGAAACCTTACCCCCAGGCCCGCAGGAGTCCGCTCCGGCTTCCAGGGAGATGCTTCGAGAAAGAGGCGTGGCGGCTTGGGAGGCATCCCGCCGTCGGAGCTCAGCCGGAGCGCTGGGAGGCCGCTGCGTTGGGGAAACCAGAGCTCAGAAGCGGTCCTCCAGGCAGGCAGGCAGGCAGGCCGGCCAGCCACGCATGGGGCAGGGGCCGAAATATCCGGGGAGCCGCAGCTCCACAGCAGAGCCCAGGGTGGCCTGCAGAAGATCCGGGGGCCGATCGTCTGTCGGCGTCTCCGGGAAGGGCTGGGAATGGCCCTGTGGGAAGCGGGGAGAAGCTCAGCTCTCCAGGCAGCAGACCGACCGGCGGAGCCCATGGGGCAGCTTCTGGCGTCCCCAGCCAGCTCCGGGGCGGCGTGTCCCCAGCCTATTTTGTGCAAATTAGGATTTTATTTATTTAAAGCTTTTCTTTCCTGCCCTTCACAGGGTTTCAGGGTGGTAATACAATTAAATAAATAAATAAATAAATAAGAAAGATACAGCATCCAGATAATGATAAAAACTCAATCTTAAAAAGCTACTGACAATTAAAATAATGGGAACACAAAAAGGGTTTGGCCTGGTGCCGAAATGAAAAAAAAATGTTAGGCATACCTTTCACAATCATAATTCATGATTAGTCTTTATGTCAGCTATAATCAGTTATCATTAGCAATGATTCATTGTCATGTATTATCAATTTTGTCAATGTAATTAGCTATTGAAGTTAATTGTAATTAGTTATGCTCAACTAGGTATTACCAATTATGAATGAGTTATAATTAGTTATCAGTTATCATTATCAATTGTTTATTGTCCCTCATCATAGTTATTTTAATTTTTGTTATCAGTTACCCTTTCAATTACTTGTGTCCAGGTATTATGGATTACCATATCTTTCCGCCTAGAACATGCCCCCACGTATAGGGATGCCTCCCACTTTTCCTAAGGATTTGCAGCGAGCACTTCGCCACTCCCCCCGTGCCGCTTCGCTGCCCCCCCATGCGCGCAATTGCGCCAGTCTCCCCCCTGAGCACGCCTCCCCCCCATATATAAGACGCACCTCCATTTCTAGTTAAATGTTTTAAAGAAAAAGTAGTGTCTTATATGCGGAAAAATATGGTAGTTATCATACTTAGTCATGGTGATCCATTATCAATTATCATTATCAATTAGTTATTTGTTATCATTAGGGGCCAATAATACTTACTACATATTCTTATTTTCATGTTTAAACCACCCCATAGCCAAAGTCCCCCAGGCAGTTCCCAACAATTAAAACCCTAAACATGCGTGACGGAAGAAGACGGACTATAAAACCTGATTATGAGAAGGAACCAAACCAGAGCAAAAACCAGCAAAAGAAAGACTGAAAAACACAAGAAATATTCATTAAAAACAGAAGTAAAGACTTGAGAAATGGGAAACGAGGAAGGCTTTTGGCCTGGCACCAGAGGTGCCCAGAAAGCCTCTCTAGGGAAGGTCACCCACAACCAGGAGGCTACCACCAAAAAGCCCCCCCTCCCCCCCGGAAAAGTATTGTGCTCATCTTCATCTTATACCTTTGCATTTCATGCTAAAAGAAGGGGTGGGGAGACAGGCGGATTCCAGAGCTGCTGGCAACCAACCAGCATCTTGGCACCGATCAGGACAGGCGTCCGCCTTACCTGGCCGCTGAAGTCCCCGGGGCAGCGGGACTCGGGGGAGGCTCCACAGGGCTGTGGGCCCGCGGCGGGGGGCTGAGGGTGTTCAGGGAGCTGCAGGGGGGCAGGAGGCTCAGCATCAGGCGCCCCCACGCGGCCACGTTGAGGCTCATCTGGGAGGCACGCAGGAACGCTTTCCCTGCAGAAAAACAGCCCTGGGCGCTGCAGGAATTCTGAAGCAGGGCTTCCCCGGGACCTCCGCGCACGAGGCATCGACTCTTTCGCTGACTTGTAGCCCACCGCTTCTCCCTGGTGCAAAGCCCCAGGGTGGCTTGCAAGATCCCTCTTCCCTCCACAACAACCCTGCAAGGTGGGTTTGGCTGGCAGTCAGGAACTGAGCCAAGGTTGCTTCACGGCCAAGGGCAGGCTCAAACCTGGATCAATCCAGTCCCAGAAAACCCCGTGACCAACACACCCTGTTGGCTTTTATGGGGTCGTGAAATCTGAGTGGATAATTGTAGCTGCTTTAATTTTACTAATACCTTAATTTTGTAGTTGCTGTAAATCCTTTTGAGAAAGAAGTCTAGGTAATATTATTACTAGCAATAATTACAATAATAATGAGTCCCAGATGGTATAGGAAAACAACAGGATACAAGCCCCCCAGTTAAAACTAAGTTGTAATTATTAAAAAAACTTAAGGAACAAAATAAGAGAGAGACATTTTTCTCCTATTACTGGGGTGCTAATAAGCCCCTGAGGAGGGATCGACTTTCTCAGGGACAGTTCTAGCCTTCGTTGTGAAGCAGCTGCCTGGACCCCAAAGAGGGGGAAAGAGATCCCACAATTGCCCCAGCCCGCAAGACGCAAGTGACGGAGACATGCGATCCCCATTGGCGCGGCCCTCCACCTCTGCACACGTGCCCTCACCTTTCTGCTTGGGGAAAATGCGCCTCTGCCGCTGCAGCCGGGACCGCGTCTTCAGCACGGGGTTGCTGAAAGTCACCTGCAGGGCGGAGGGGAGGGGAGGGGGGGAGGAGGAGGAGGAGGAGGAGGAGGAGCAGGTCTGTCTTCAGAGGGCCTGTTCCCCTGGGGGAGAGGGCAGTGGTGGGGCATGTGCCGTGAAGAGGCACAGGCTTTGCGAGCGTTCTGTGTCCGAGGATTCGGTTCGCAGCCAGAAGGTCCCGGGTTTGATCTTGGGGCCTTCCACAGAGGGCTGGGAAATGCCCCTTCTAAAACTCTGGGGAGTCCAGGGATTGAGAAATGCAGGACGGAGCCGGACGGGCCACAGTGTGGCGGAGACACCAGTGGGGCTGCGTGGCAGGTGCCCGGTCCTGATCGCTGATGTTATGGCCCATCTCCAGCTGGGAAGAACAGTGCGGCCACCTCCAGGGGGGGCTGGACAGTCCTGTGCTTTATGCCTGCCTGCCCCTGGCCAGGGAGCCCTGCTCATGGACCCCTCCCGCGCCAGGGGGCTGCGGAGATGCGCCAAGGCGAATGCTCTGGCCAAGGGTGTCAGCCGGCGTGGCGCCACGCGGACGTGGCCCGAAGCCTTTGCCAAGTCAAGCAACAGGTCGTCCCAGCCTGTGCAAAGCTGGATCCGTTTCCTAGTTTAAAAAAGACGTTTACCTCTGCGAAAAGCGTGCCTTGGGGCTCGAGAGCGAGCGGCATGCTGTGGCGCTCGTTATCAAGGAAATCCTCCAGGCGCACGAACTTCACCGCACAGAGTCCGCGCCAGTCACGCCAATAAACGGAGACTTCCAGCTCTCGGCCCTGCAGGGAACGAAAGGAAGGGGCTGTCTGGGCACCGTGGAATCCAGTTCCAAGGGCTCGAGGTTTTTGTGCCTGGGGTCCCCGGGGGAGGCTGGAAGGTACCTCTGCTCCTAGAAGGCAACTCCAAACTCCCCGCCCCCACCCCCGCAAGCTATTGCTCCCGCTTGTAATGCAAGGAGCTCCAGGGTTCCTTGGTCTGGAGTGGACAATTAAAGATGAAATCCTTCCTGTTCAGGCGGCAGAAGTGGTGCCGCTCCAAGGCCCAGGGGCCGGGGACCCCAGCAAGACGCGCACACGTACTTTGTCCAATTCCACGGTGAAGGTCTGGTCCCAGGACTGGCTGCAGACGGGTCCCCAGCTGGTCTGGCCAACTGTCTTGTTGTCTATCTTGAGCACGGCGAGGACTTCAGCTGCACCACGGGAGAGAGAGACGCCACGTGGATCTCATGCTCTCGGCCACTGATGGGGGAAATATTTTAGGACCCCCAGACACCAAAGGAGCATGCTGGGTGTGACACCCACCCACCCTGCGGCTTCAGCTGCTGTGAAGCACTCCACCTGTGGCCTGATTTGCCAGTCAGAGGAACACCAAACATCTCCCATGTGATGCAGCGGCTCGAGTGCTGGACTGGGACTTGGGGCACCTGGGGCCAGCTGGTGACCTTTGCTCATGGCGCGGCAGCCCGCTGGGGATGAATTTTACCCTCGGGTAGCACAGCATTTTCTGGCTGCTGTACGAATGAACAAACCTGGCCAAGAGTTGCCATGGCTTCTCATGTGCAAACCCAGCCATCGGGGGTGATGTGAGGGGTAAGCATAATCCATGGCTTCTTTTAGGGCAGTGGGGCAAACCTATGGCACCCGTGCCACAGCGGGCGTGCAGAGCCCTCTCTGTTGGCACATGAGCCAAGTCGCCCCAGCATCATCCCAGCAGCCGAGCATCGAATAACCGTGCACTCAGGGGCCATGCGCATGCTCGGAAATGAGAGGTTGTGCCAGGCGACGACATCACGAGGCGAGACTTGTCCAAGCCTTCGCATGGCCGGTCAGGGCACTGCCAAGGATGTACATATATTTGCTTGGACCGGCTGTGAGGTGTTTTTTCTAAACGAAAACCTCAGTTTTCAGGTTTTATTGTAGCGCTGGCACTTTGCGATAAATAAGCGGACTTTGGGTTGCAGTTCGGGCACTCGGCCTCTAAAAGGTTCACCATCACTGTTTTAGGGTCTAAGGGAAAATTAACGCACCCCGGCCTGCCATGCCGTGAGAACTGGGGTGTGACTTGGAGGCACAAGGTGGAGAACGTGTCTTCAGAGCACCGATACGATGGCCGGAAGAGGAGCCAGGAAAAGAGGCTTGTCTGGCTGGATCAGCCCAAGGGCCCTCAAGCTTAACCACCTCCAGCGGGGAATTGGAGCCTCTAGCAAGGCCACGGGGTGCAAGAGCTTTTCCCGCATCTGCCCCTCCTCTGGCAACAGCTGGGCAGCAGTGGATGGCCTCTGACCTCAGCGTTTTCATACAGATGCTGTGGTCTGAAGTGCCCTCCATGAATTTGTCTAGGAACAGGATAGGGGGAGACAGAAGGTGGGTGCCCCTCTTTCCCACATGCAAGGAATTCATTTGGCCGGGTTGGGGAGCCCTTTCAGCCCCCAGGCTGGATTCCGGTTTGGAAAAACTTTGGGAGCCGCACTCCAGCAGGGAGGAAGAACAGACGCGTATGGGGCAGGGCTGAGAAGACCCGCACCTTCTGGCTTAACCCCTTGCTGCCAGTCACGCAGCCCTAGGAAAGGCGCTCCAAATTTGAAAAGGCAGGAGGGGGGCACATAAGGCAGGAACCCACCAAGCAATGGGAGGGAACACCAGACCCTCGGGGCTGGGGAAAGGGGCGCAGCCGTGGAGAGGACCCCGGAGGGCTGGATCGGGATTCCCCGAAGGCCGGGTTCGGTTCCTGGGCCGGAGGTGGAGGCGGTCTGCTCCTGGCAGCCCACTCCCAGCATCTCAGGTTTCTTCCCAACCCCACGTGGAGATCCTGGGGATAAACCTGGGACTCTAGGGCACCTTTCACAGGGGCTTCATTCTAAAATCACCCCCCCTCAAAAAAAAAGGTGTTTCTAGCCAGCACCATCAGCTCCACTGGGAAACATGCGCCCCATAGTTCCATTGGCTTTTGGAATTTAGTCTCTGAATTTTTCCCTGCCCCTTCCCTCCCTCCCTCCCTCCCTCCCATGGGAAAGAAGCATGCAATCCTACACATTTAGACAGAAAACTCTTTCTTCTGTTTACACGCATTCAGGTTGTACTGCCTGAAATTTGTATGAGGATAATAATACTAGCGATCTACTCTTGCAAGCTGCCTGGAGAGCTGTAGAAGCATATCAAATCAACCAGCCTCACGCCGAATCCTTTCCTTAGCCCAGAAGACTCTGCCGAGGGCCCGCCCAGCACGCTGCCACTCACAGCCACGTTCTTCGCTCCACGAGTGTCTCCCAGCGGCTCCGTGGCTGTGAACTCCGCCTGGAACCCACGTCCGGCCAAGGATTTGGGGTCGCCGGGGCTGCCATGAGCGGGCGTCGCACTGGCCACTCGGGAACGGTCCGGGACCCCTCTCCAAGAGATCCTGACAGCCCAGCAGTCGCACCTCCAGCGTTCCTGAGGAAGGTCGACGGGGTCAGAGGAGGAGAGGAACTCCGAGCAGAGAAAACTTCAGCCGTCGCGTCGCATGGAAGTGGCAGGTCAAGGAGGGGCCTGGCTCAGCCCCGGGAATGTTGCTCTGGGCAGACCCACCTTGAGCACGAAAGCTTAAGGGCGCCTTTGCACCGGTCCCTGTTTTCCAGCCTCACCTACCTCACAGGGTAGTTACGAGGACGAAATGGGGAGAAGGGGGGGGGCAGGAGGATTATGTGAGCCATCTTGGATCCCTTGCTGGAAAAATGTGGTGCAATCAAGGGAGCGCGGACTCGTTTGCGGCTTGCCTCTGGAAGGCAGCTGAGCAGAAACTGGCCGCGGCAGCTGGCCTCCCAGAGGGGCCGTGCGTCCGCGCCCCCAGGAGCTGAGCCCCGGCGCGCAAGACAGAGTCACCTGTGATAGCGGCGGGCTTGGCCCAAGAGAGGAGCGGCTCCCTGCTTCCGGGGCGAGCCCCCCGGGCGAAGGTGTGCGCGATCTCTTGCTTGACGAGCGCCCGCTTCGGGTGGCCGGGGGCGAGCTGCCCCAGCAGGCGCTCGAGGGAGAGCCGCAGCAGGTCCAGCTTCTGGGAGGACTCCTGCAGGCAGGCCTGGGCCTGGGACACAAGAAAGGGACACGCTTGCTCTCCGGAAGGCCTAATCCTGCACCCCTCCATGCCCAGAGCACTGCCTCGGCCCCACCGAGCTCCTTCGACCACCCTGGTCGGTGGTTTTCTGGCTCTGGGCTGTTCCTTCCCTGCATCCTAAAAGCTGCAAAGGCTTCTCTGAAGGTTATCTGAGCTTTAAGCTGGAATCCTGGGGCTTGTAGTATGTTGGCCTCGTCCCCTTGACCCTGCCCTGTTTTCCACCTGGGCTGCCCAGGGGCTTCTCCAGAAGGGACTTCAGCCCACGAGCTGAGAAGTTGCACACGGTCATTCCAGTTCCACCTCTCCCAGCCTGGGGCTCTCCAGATTGTTAACAGCTCCATCATTTCACCATCCCCGACCACTGGCCAAGCCGCCGGGCGCCGCAGGACTTGCAGGCCAAAACAGCTGGAGGACTCTGGACCGCTTTGCTCTGACCCAGTCTGGGCACCTGCTGCCTGCAGTGGCAATTTGGAAGTGTGCCTGCTCGGCACCGGGGCCCCGGCAAAGGGCAGGCAGCTGCTCTGGTCCATATTAACAAGCAGATGTGGCCATTTTTGCATCTGGCAGGCGCAGGCCTTTGGAAAGCAAACGAGTCTTTTCCCCGTTCAGGATCAAGTGGCATGGCATTACAGCAGGAAATCCGATTTCTCCCAGCTGCTTTGAAGGTTACAGCTCAGCTCAGAGGGAACCGGGAACCGAGCGGTGGGGAGAGGATGCCAGGGTCCTGCTGAGGAAAGAGATCCGGTACTTTGGCCCGGAGAGCCTCGGTGCCGCCACGCCACTGGCCTCCCACAGCCACTTCTTCCGAGTTGCCCCCGGGCCAGGAAACCCCTTCTGTGGCCCTCTGGGGCCTCCTCCCTACCTCAGCCAATGCCTTCTTGTCCTGCAGCCGCTGGCCACCCAAGAGCTTCACGATGTTTCGGGCGCCTTCAGCCACGGCCGCTTCCACGCGCAGGCGATGCCGCAGCTCCTCGAGACGAAGCTCCAGTGGAGCGGTGGGGCTTCTGTTTCCTGGGGAGAACAGCAGGCGACTCGTGGGCAAACAAGGGGCCCAAAGCCACGCAGCTGTGGACCGCGGTCCTTCCCACAGCTATGCAAACAAACCCTAGGAATCTGGGTGCTCCTATTGGAACCTACTGCCTGAGAATGTTTGTTTTCTGTTCCTATGGAAAGGCACGTTCTTGGCCAAATGGGAGGGGTGGGGACCTGTTTCAGCCGGGGGCAAATTCCTTTTCAAAGGTGCTCACCTCTGGAGGGAGCAGGACCCAAGGCGCAGGAGGGAGCCGACCAGGTCGGTATCTCCTAGCACGACGCTCCTCCTGCTTTTGGGGACGGCGGAAGGGGGAGTGCACAAAAGGGTGGGTGCTTGCAGGAAATGTGCTGCGGCTACGAGAAGGGCCTTGGGCCACACGAGGGACCCAAAGGCTGGGATCTGGGGTGCACCTGCCCGCCCCGTCTTCCGGCTGCAAAGGCTGCCCTGCAGTCGTGGAAACACCTGCAAAGGCGAAGGCGGTTTCAGTAACATCTCCTAGAGGCAAGGCGGGGTGGCAAACCACTTCTAGCCTGAGGCTCCATTCTCTGTCCTGGAGGCTCTTGGAGGTGCCGGAGCCCAAGGTGGATGGGATGCCAACAGAAAGACAAGAACATGCTTGGCAGCTGCACCAGGGGACCCCCGCCGAGTTCTAGCACAACGGGGGGGATGCCTCTCCCCACCTTCCCCGCAGAAGCTGTCATGTGGCACAATGCCGGCGCGCTGTCCGGTCCGTGCCCATGCCCAGCCCTACCTGCCGGGTCCCCGGCATCTTCCGCGCCACCTCCTGCCTGAGACACCTTCACAATCTGCATGCGAATCACCTCTATCCTGCTCTTGCTGTCCTGGAGCATTTGCTGAGCGGCCGCCAGGAGCTTCCGTTCCTGCCGGAGAGACAGGGTGGATGGTCCCGGGCCTGTCCCTGCAAGCCCGCGGGGTCATTGGGAAGATGACAGGGGCCCATAAAAGCTGCCTTGCGAAAGGGAGGGTTGCTCAGAGGACGGGGCTCAATGTTTCCGAGGCAGAAGGAAGCACCCGTTGCAGCCGAAGCCCGTCCTGAGTCCGCCTGCAATTCGATGCAAGCCCCTCTTCCGGGGCCTTCACCCCAGCTCACCTTGGCCGTGTTGGAGTACATCTGGGTCATAGCCTCAGCCCCTTTTTTCACCCTCATCTCGAGATGAAGCTGCTTCTTCAGCGCCTCCTCGCTCCTCCTCAGCGCTGGGTTCGGGCTCCTCTCCGGTGTGCAGGGCTTTGAGGATGCACTCCCATCTGTATCAACACAACAGGAGCCACAACAGAGGCACAAGGCAGTGTTGGGTGTGGAAAGAAGAGAGGCGAGAAATTTCCCCTCACGCAGAGAGGGCATCCCGCGAGGCTGAATGGTGGGAGATGCAGGAGAGATGGAAGGCCGTCCAGCCGGCTTCACACAGCCCAAATTCGCTGCCACCGATTTGGGTGGCTTTTAGGGAGAAAGGGCCAATCCGCTATCCATGGCTCCTAGTCCTCATGGCCGTGGGCAACCTTCGGGATCGGGGCAGATGGACTTTGGGGAACATGGGCAAGAGAGTGCTGCTGTATTCCTGCAGGTTCAAAATCGGACCTACCTGGCTTTCAAGTCCAGCCCTCTGGGGTTTCCCAGGCAGCCTCACCCCCTTTGCTCTAACCACTGGTCCTTGGTGTAGTTTCCTGGCTCTTGTGCCCCCTCTCCGAAGGCTGCGTTGCTGAGCATGAAGCTCAAACAGGCTGGGATTTTTGGACGAGCCCCCTCACTGCCAGCACCCCCACCGCCTCGCCCAGGCTGGCCTCGCCATCAGGATGCAGCCCGGAGAGCACCTCTGGATGGACTCTGGTCCTCCTCTACTGGAGGTGTGGCGTCCTGAAGGGCCCCCTGCGGCCTCATGGCCACCGGCCCCGCGGCCAGGGGCTTCGCCTCACCATCGCGACAGCCTGCCCACAAGGCCCCCCGCAGCCACCCTGCCTTCACCCCAGAAGGAATCCTGGGACATGTGAGAGATTCAGGCTGCCGGATGGCTTCTTTGGCAAGAGCCAGCCGAACGTGCAGGTCCAAAGCCCACCTGCCTCGCCGCCCTCCTCCTCCGCTGCTGCGATGCGGGCGCAGCGCTCCTGGAGCCGCTCGAGTCTGCGGCTGGATGATGTCAGGATGTCCCCCACACGCGCCAGGCTCCTTTTGTCCGCGGTCGCCCGGAGCATGTTTTCGGCCCCTTCCTTGATCCTCTGCTCCTTCTGAATGGCCCGGCCCACGAGCTCCTGGTTGTCCTCCGGCTTCCGCTGGACAGCCGGCCCCGCGAGGTCCGCCCTGCCCCTCAGCGGAGGGAGGCCGTGGGCCTGCAAGCAGTCCAGCGAGGGAGAGGGCTGACCCAGGCTGCTGAGAGGGGCAGCACTGGGCGCTGAAGGGATCCGAGGCCCAGATCCGTGGGGGGGGGGAAGCCCACATTATGCTAACTGGCACGTGCTCCAACGTTTCTCTGGCGTGTGTCTTTTGTCCTGGGCACACACCTACTCAGAATCACAGAATAGTAGAGTTGGAAGGGGCCATGAAGGCCCTCGGGTCCACCCCCTGCTGTCGCATCCCACTTGGGTGGCTGCCCAGCTTCTTTCTGAATGTCTCCAGTGTGGGAGAGCCCACCACCAACTCACCCTTAAGCAACTCGCCCTTGACTCTGCTCAACTCCCAGTTTTACAAATCTAGCTACCTAAATAAACTTTCTTTCTCCTCCAGGTATGTCCAGTCTGCACAGGAATGGCTCCAACATAAACTGGGTTCTAGCAGTTTTCCCACTTGTAGAACCATTAAAGGGGTAAGCACACTACCTATCTAACCAGCTAGCAAATCTTCCAAGTTGCTAGTCCTCATGAACTGTTGAACTCTGCAGGGAAATGTAAAGGAACTGTTAATCAAGAGAGATTATGGAAAGCAAAAAGAGGCCAATCAGGGATGCTCAAACATCAAGGAACTCCTCAGAAAGAAATTTAGACACAAATCAAGTAACTGGGTGAGAGAGAAGAAAGACATTCACAGCCGATAATCGCATCCTGTTAAAGAAACAGGAAAAGATCCCAATGCCAGGAGGGAGGAGAATTTCTGTAGTGTAACTGGTTATCCCACTTGGAGCCAAATTCAGAGCGAACCAGGGATTTTGAGTTCCTCTGCCGAGGGATACTGGGGATACTGGGAGCAGAGCCAGATGCCAAAAAGGGTTTTGGGCCAGGTCCACAGGACGAAACAAAGATGCACACACAGCTGCAGACTCTAAATTCTGTATGTTCCACAGTTTCTCTGCCTTTCAAGGTCTGCATTTCTTAAGAAGACCCCTTTTTGGGAGGAGGGGGTTTGATGCCTGGGGGGCAGACCCCCAGGCAGAACCCCAGAGGGGCAGCGAGGCTTTTGCTTTGCAGAATCATAAGCCTGGTACACAGAACAGAGCTGTGGATGTGCCTTGAATGCCTGATTTAGAACTCCATCCTGTATTTGTCAGGAAAGGGAAAGGAGAAAGACTGCGACGCCAAGTGCCCCAGCAGCCAGCATGAGAAATCCGTGTGTGCCACGCATATTCCCTTTTTCCAGCCATGTGGCGTCTGCAGTTTATTTTTAAGGGACTGAATCTTTGTAATCAACCCAGCGAGCTTCGACTCCTGCGTCACTGGGGGCACTTATCCACGCAGCTTTTATTACGAGCTTCCTAGCAGCTCTCCCTGGGGCTCTGTGGGGGTGAACCCATTTTGGAGATGGCATTCAGCGCCCTGGAGAACTCCTATACATGTGTCCCAGGGCACTTGGCCAATGACTCGAAGGGGGCCATTCCTGAGGAAAGGAATTTCCAAGGCAGATATCAACACACACGCACCGGCACCTGTTGGCAAATTTCCTGTGGTCTGAATAAGGACAGCGGTTTGTTTTAAGTCACATTACATGCGTTAATTGCGGCACTTAGTTAATTGCAGCTGTAACTATGTTACCCCCCAGCCATGTTCCGTGGCCACTGTCTCTGGGCCACAGAGCTTGTGTCTGGGTGTAAACCTGCCCCTTTGAGGTTAAGCCTTCCCACATGGCCTGAAGTACTTGCCAAAAGCTTTGCCAAAGCCGATGAGACTAAACTGGCCTTCAAGCTGCACGAAGGCTGCTGGTGGCTTCGGGTCTCGAGAGACCGGAGTCCCTGCTCCCCTGCACTCATCCTGCCTCGAGGGGCTGCTTTCCTAATTGCACTCTCGCCCTCCTTTTGCAGCTGGGCAGGACGCCTCACCGCCCAGCTGGGGCAATCAGGGGCCCTTGGGAGATCAAGAGGCCCTCCTGGAAGTGCTCTTGCCCCACCCCATGAGAGGCATAGTTTCTGCTCGGCGGGAGGGCCCTTCCACCAAGTCCTGAACCCCAAAACCTCCAGGCAGGACCGTGAAAGGGAAGAGCCTTCTGTGCTCCTTCGAAGCATGTGGAGGTCAGGGGTGCGGACCCTGCTTGGCAAGTGAGGCCGGCTCAGAACCACCTGAACTGTGAGCGACCCACGGAGAAGCCGTGGTCCGTGGCGGAGTTGTGAATGCTGGCTTGTGCACTTGTGGCTTCAGGCAGCATGGCAACCCACACGCGGCGCTCAGACTGCCCTTGATGTGCTTGAACCCGGGCAGTGGGTCCTGCGTCCAAGCTCCAAGTGGCGAGCCAGGGAGCAGCAGACCCTTTCAGTCCGAGGGCAGAGGCTGTCTTGCAACATCTCTCCTGATCTGCATCACAGGGTTGGGCAGGGTGGAAATGGACCCCCCCCCCACATATCTGCATATTTTTACTGCCAGCAAATAAGCTTTCAGAGAGGTGTTCTGCCTTTTTAGAAACAGCACTAAAGCTGGGAAAACCAGAGCCCTGTGAGGAAGGGTGGGCTGAAAGTCTGTGGATAGCCCAAAGTCTCCCTTCATAGCTGAGGGAAGCTAAGAATTCTTGCACCCTAACCACTAAACCATACTGTCTCACCAGCTCTCCAACTGGCTTTTACATCAATCCTAAAAGCTGATTTCACTCTCAGTTCACACCTGAGGTGAGGAGCCACTGTTTTCAGTCAATGGGTGTGTCCAGAGAACAGGGTAACCCCCCCCCCCCCATGGCTGAAATAGAAGGCATCTCGTTTCCTGCACAGGGTAACCTCCGTAAGCCAAGCATGGCTTGGGCTGAAATAGAAGAGATCCTGTTGCCTGAACGCAGCCAGAGTAACAGCCCATGATGTAAAAGCCAGAGTTCATCACTCAACAGCAAACTGGGGGTTCTCTTTATGGGTTGTCATGGTTTGTTAGGGCAGCTGGATTCATCCCCCCCCCCCCCCCCCATAACCCAAGGATCAAAGACAAGCCATGCTGAACCCTGTGCTGACTGAACGCAGCCCCTGTCGACAATTCAGGGCTAAATGGACTCAGGGTTTAATTTAGGATAAGGCAGCCACCTACCCAACTCTTGTGAATGTGATTACTGTTACTCAGTTTATCAGAACAAATAGCAAGCATTCATACCAGCAAAATTAAATGGCTCGAGATATCAAAAAATATTCATCAGCAGTAAAACTACACACACTGCCATGCCCGCCAGGCCAGAAAACAGTTGGGTCACACATCTGGGGAAAACCTGTGCCGAAAGAGATGTTACAAACACTTCTGAATGTAGAACCTGGCTGAGAGTTTGGAATCCAGATTTCTGGATCACCTCCTCACCTGCTGGAGATCTCTGGCTGCCATGGCTACAGTCCAGCGTCTCCTCCACCTTGGTGCTTTCCTCTGAAGATCTCAAGCTGATCCAGGTTATCTGCCTGGACTTTTTCAGACTTCCACCTTCCCCAGGCCCTGGCCAAGAACCTCCAAGGGGAGTCAGTGCCCTCTGCTGGCTATCAGTGGATCCCAGACTCATAGACCAAGAATCCACCAGGAGCTTCTTGCAGGCTCCAAAATTGATTTCAAGTGTCTTCTAATCCAGATACATGGACATTCCAGCCAAAAACAAAAAGAGGTCTTGGCAAACTTGTGGTTTGTTGAGTTGCTTGAAATTACTTTTGCCAAACCTGACAGGAAAGGAAATACATGGTGGAGAATCAGAGAAACCTTTCAGAGGCAGAAAACTCAGCAACGCCCTGGATTAAGAAGGTATCCACAGGTGATGCAGTGTTGTGTTAATTAAAAAAGACTATTATCAGCAAGGTTTAAAGGGCCAGTTGCTATGTTGACATGATGGTATTTCTGTGCTGGAAGCCATTAAGGAGGTGGATTAAATGAGCATCCTCCTCTCCATTTTTAAGCTCACAACAACCTTGTGAGGTGGGCAAGGCTAAGAGTCAGTGACTGACTGGCCCAAAGTCACCCAGTGAGTTTCACGGCCGACAGGGACTTGACCCGGGTCTCCTAAATCCCAGTCCAGCACTTTAACCACTACATCACCAGACGTTATGGGCTGGATGAGGGCCGACAGACAGAATCCCAATGACACAGAGACCCAGTGGGCTCTCCCAACGTAGCTCTGCCGAGACGCATCGCAACGAACGAGACACATGACTGAGCGAAGCCCCTGTCAATCGAGCAGAGCTACTCAACGCAGGATTGGTGCTGGATACAATGTCAGGACTGGGTTATTCACCTCTACCAAATTGGTTGCCCTCCCTTCAAAGGGGCAGGTTTGCAGTTTGGAAATACTCTTGGATCATCTTCCCACCGGGCATTACCTGGTAAGATCAGAGAGGCCAGAAGGCCTCTTTGAAAACTGTATATAACCTTGCAAAATGTTGCATGAAAAGCCGTTCAACTTAAAAGCAAAAAGACGCACTGCAAAGCACCGTTCATCGCAGCCCTGGATGTGAACCCACGGCGGGACACGCAGGGGGATCGCTTAGGAAATAATGAGCAAAAGAAAATAAATTAAGGGGGGGTGTGTGTGTGGTGTGTGTGCGGATCCTTCAATTTCAACAGTCCTGTTTGTGGCCACTTTTCCTTTTAAGTACCGCGTGGTAATTATAGCGATGTTATCAGGTCAAACGGCTCGCCTTTTAATTTAAGCAACGGTTGTGTGCCCTTGGCATGGCGCTGCATACCTTGTACGCAGTAGCTATGGAGTCGTTTTTAGAACACTCTTTCAGTGTGTAGAACCAAAACAAATGTCTGAGAATGTAGCTGAGGTGCCAACCAGTCGGTGCGGGTAGTGGGTAGAGCGCCGAAAAAAGACTCCAGGCATCCCGTTCCTAGTCCCCGCTGAGCCTGTGGCAGCCTTGCCTACCTCGCAGCGTTGTTGTTGTTGTGAGGAACACATGGGGAGGAGAGCCTTGTAAGCTGCCTTGGGTGTCTTGCAAGACATGGAATAAATGAAGCCCTTCGGGGCTGAACCAGGGGCCGCGGGTGGGTGTGCTGGGCCCTTTCAAATCCCCCGGGGAAGGTTGTCGTTGCACAAATGGGCCTTGACTGGCCGTTCAAAAGCAAGCAAGCCAGCCACCCCCAAGTGCTTTGCATCACAACCAGGAGCCATCTCCAGACTTTGCATTAGGAGAGGGATCGCTGCTCGGGGCAGAACGCCTGGAAATGGCAGGTGGCCGGCGTCCCAGCCCTGCGGCCTCCCATGGCACCCCCACAATAGCATCCTGGGCATGCCTGCAAGTTAGGCCCCCTGCTCTGGTTGCTGCTTGGAAACACGTGGCGGTTCGGGGCTCATCTTGCCCCTTTGCTCCGCACACTGAAGGGCAGGCACCTCGGGGTGGAGCCTAGATCAAGTCGCTGTGTATTTTACTGGATTTATGTTCCTGATTTCTTCCGTTGCAATGGGCTGGAGGGGACATGCAGGGGCCTTATCCTCCCCTCCATATTATCTTCTCAACAACCCTGTAAGTAGGCTAGGGTTAAAAGTAGGCTAAAAGGCAACTTGCATCTTGGGTCTCTTGCATTCCAGTTCCATTATAAAATAGAAATCTGCAGTCTTGACTGCCTGCCCACGGAAGGCAAAAAGGAGATCTTTCCCATTATGGGGTAGGGTGGGGTGGGGTGGGGTGGGAGCTCCCAGAAGGGGGGAGACTCATGCCTCCTCCGGGTGGATTGTCAGAGTTGAGCAATGGCTCAGGGTGCCAGGGAGAAAGAGGCAGCCTTGAAAGAGCAGCAAGTGGTGCAGATTTCAGTCCGGATTTATGTCTGGCTGCCTTTAGCGGAGGCATTTCCAAAAGGCCAGTGCAAATGGGGCTTGTTACGCAGTGCCCCCCCCCCCGGTCACACTCACACACGATAAAGCACATCAAATCCTATTGAATTAGATTATCAGGATTTTTATTTTAAAGGAAACAAGAAAATCTAAAGAAAAACGAGTATCCTCCCCCACATACATTCTAGTGTTAATCCTGCTTAGAGGAGACCCATGGAAACGAATGGGACTTCAGTTATTCCTTGCTAACAGCAGTGCCATTTCCTTCAATGGGAAAACCCAGTAACATACATTTTGGAGGACCCACTAAACTTCCACAAAAGATTGTGTGGGTTTAAATCATATAAGAATAAAATTAAGAATTGTGCCCATCAAGCAAGTCCTTAAAAATAAAGCAGAGGGTTTTTCCCTTTCTTGATTACATCTTTTCCTGACATTTAAAAAAGAATTACAAACCTGCCCCCCTCCCCCCACCACACACAAAGGAGCCTGCACTAGCAAAATGAAATGAGCCTGAAGACCAAGAATGCTGCCAGGAAAACCTGAACGGGGTGGGAAGAATAGGGATGCCTGGACAGAACTGCACAGAGAGGAACACCTGAACACGTCTCGGCCTGCTCTTGTTCACAGCACCACCACGGTAAATAGAGAAAAACCTTAAGCAACACAAGCACTGAACATGTCAAGGGGACACACAACTCAGATGGAGGAAGCAAACAGAGCAGAGATGGGTGTCTGGAACTCTCATCCGAAACACGCGACACTCCCTCACAAGGAAACGCTTGTCCTTCAGAATATGAGGTCTTTCAAATTCCACAGAAAGGGAATTTGCTGGCCAGTACTTTTCAGAATCCGAAATCCACCTTCCTCCTCTCATACACACTGGCAAATTTTCCTGTCCCTTCCATGCCTTTTGACAGATCAGTCCTCTTGAGGTCTCCATCACCTGAGCAACGATGACCTGTGGAGAGATGATGGGAACAGGAGCCACACAACACCTGGAGGGCCACAAGCACTCACCACGGTGGTCTGGATTCCTGACACTGGCCCTCCAAACAATGCCTTTTGTTCCCTTCCCTGGAGTTCCTACTGCTTGGATCACTTCAGTGCTATGCCTGCCCAGCAGAAACTAATTCTGGCAAGGGGTGAATTTAAAACTCAGAGATAAGCCAATCCTGTTCTGTCTGTTGAGTATTGCCTGTCAATTAAAAACACACAGCATAGCAGTTTAAAATCCCGCTTATGGTTTTAAGACCAATAGCTCAGTAGGAACTTCAACAATGTCCACAAGTGCTTGTAAATTAGTCAACACTCCTCAAGGGAAGTTATCCCAAGATTTAAAACCAAATGTAATCAAAGTAGCTTTCAGTGTTACACCTAAGCCTTTTTAAAAGTCAACTGGAACAATTTAAGCTAGTTTTGAGCACAAGAACACACTAATTTAGCAACCACTTGAGTTGTTATTCATAAGCCCATACATGTTTCATAATGCCATAGAAACGATTTCCAAGTGTAGCTCGAACCTTTGCAGACCTGCACCGCTTCCATCACTGCTGCATATGCACAACTACCTTAATGTGAGGGAGAGTGAACCTGCATTACCTAGTACAGCATGGATTAGTCTCCTTCACTCACTGCTCAATTATGACGTTTTATACGAACACCTGTAGGCTACACATATAGAAATGTTAAATGAAGAACAGACGCATCCATTTGCTTATTTATGTACATCACAAAGCAGAGCAATGAAAATTCTGCAAATGTCACCTGTAATTGGAAGGATACTGCAAGAAAAGCATTAATCCAAGTTCATCCACAATCCTTTACCGAGGGAAACAAAAGCTTTGAATGCAAGCAACTCTGAAGGAGCAGAGCCCACTAGCAAGTGCCAATCCAGTGATGATCTTTATTGATACCAATAGATGAGGTTACAGAATTCCTTCTACATTGAATATCATTTTCCAAGTATCACTCGACCAGATCTTGGAGCAGGCCCTAGGAAGCAGCCTCCACCTGGCCCAAAACGGACCGAAGTCTCACCCCTGTGATAACCTAAGGAGCTGTGAGCTGACTATCAGTCAACATGGAAATTGCAAGGCCTTCCCACAATGGCAGAAGGAAAACAAGCGAGCTCAGGGTCACTTTGAAGCAGAGTTAGAGTTTATAAGCAAATGCCTCTTCTGTTGGGATCCCGATAGAGAACTGTGCCTGAGGGGCTTGTCTTGGCGGAGGGAAAGAGGGACCTGCCAAGATTTATATGTACCACTGACATTTTTTTGCTATTTTATTCCTCATAATATAGTATAAGTCCTAATGATTCTAAGTTATATGCTGAGAAACCAAACTAAAGGGGATGAGTTAGAAGCATGCTTTTTTCTTTCAGTGAAGACTATTAGCCCCCTTGTGTACACATTAAGTTTTATTGTAACAAAGCAACTTGTACACTTTTAACGTTTAAAACTGAGCGTCTTTCTTTTCCAGTGAAACAAAAAAAAAGTTGAAAAAACAAAACAAGGAACAAAATTACAATAATAGAGAATGCAAATTCCAAATAAGATCCTAAATAAAAGTT